CACTGTATCTTTTTACTACTAGTTAATTGTGACCGGGAACTTTCTGTAGATATTGCCTTCTGTTTCACTAGTGAATAGGGCATGATGCATGTATATGACTTCATTTGTGGGTATGCTATCTTGCAGAATGAGAACAGGACATTATGGAAGCTAGGAACGTTGCCTCCTGGTTTGATCACATTCTACTCCACCACAAAGCCTCTGGAAAAATCTTGGCATGTTCTTGGACTCGGGTACAATCCAAGCATAAGCATGGAGGAGATTAGAAACGCTGCTGTTGTGCATTTCAACGGGAACATGAAGCCCTGGCTGGATATCGGTATGAACCAGTTCAGGCACCTATGGACAAAATACGTGGATTACGACGACTCATTCATTCGCCAATGCAATTTTGCACCACCGTAGAAGGAAAAGCCTTTGCCATTGTTCTACAGATATCAAGGAAGATTGGTAACTAGAGCTAGAGCCACTGTAACAGTTAACACATGTACTATCGCATGTTTTGTGGAAATCTCAGGAGCCTGCGAATTAGAACTGCGGAGGACAAGAAATTCTTTCTAGATCTTGTTGTATGTCATCGATTAAGTTATGGTGAAAATGCTGTTCAAAACATGAACATTATTTTCATCCCGTTTGTAATAATCTTATGCGTGTCAGCGTGTGTATGCCAAAGTCATGTGCTATGTTCATAATATGAAGACAATCTTACTAGGACAAATTATCAGAAGATCAATGAACTCCTGTAGAGAAATATTGTGCAAACGGGCTTATATGCCAATTGCTACTGAATATGTTGAATTTATAAGCGCATAATGATTTAATTTATTCCATAAATAAATCATGACATTGCAGATATAAGCTAGCATAAACGCATCATAAGATCTATACATGTATACTAGATAGTAAAGTATGAACAGATCAAATATTCGCAATATGTTGAATACGTACTGAGGGTACCGGAAGACCGGTTGCTCAGCAGGAAGTACTCGCGGTTGTGGGCGTTGACAACGGCGCATAGCACGTGAGCGAAGAGGAAGACGAACCGTTGTGGTCGAACAGGGAGCAGTCGCGCGAAGTGCTTCCCAAAAACCTTATTGCCGCCTTCTCACAGTGTAATATGTCGAAGGCGAAGGTTCCGGAGACCTGCTCTCCAGATCACCGGTGCACACCAACAAGCGGGATGGAGTAGACTACGAGCGACGTCGCAGTACAGAGGAGGAGGCAAACCCTAGATTGATTTAGCATGTGTTGCATGGAGGCAGCGACTCAACTTATATAGAGATATCTGGACGCCTGCACGATCTCCGCTCCGCGTAACCGAGCGGATTATTCGGAGTGTTTCCAAAACAAACAAATCTGAATTTCCCGTAGCAAAACAAAACTGCAAAAGGAGGTTGCATCTGCGCAAGGGTGAGAAACCAATTTTGGCGGATCATTTGACGCGTACATCGCGTGTGTGTGCTACCATGCCATGCCAGGCGAGGCGAGGTGAGTGCGCGCATGTGTTCCCCCTCTTCTCTCCACATCACATGTTTCAAGTGGCTAGGAGAGCATCCTCCCTTATAAGGAGGTACCCCCTCTTAGAATAGGTAAGGTGGCACTAAACTGTCTATGCATGCCATCCCATGAGGTGGGCTTTTGTAATTTTTCTAAAAAATTAATCTTCAAATGGGCTAAGGCCCATCTATTAATTCCAACAATTTGGCCTACTTCAATTGTGGCGACACCACTAAGAGCAATTCTCTTCCTTGGAGGTGTCATTATGGCATTCCCCTTCCCCCGTACTGATCTCTATGTGAAAACCTCGTTCCAACTTCTAGATAGGTGGTGGTTGTTTGATCAAAAAAAGATGAGTGGCGGTGGCGATTAACGTCGTGTCCTCCATGGATGCACCACTTTGGGAAACATTCCTTGTGCAGCCATGACTGTTGGTTGAATCTTGCGTTGTCTCGGGGCTTTCTGCTTCTACACCAAGGTTCCATATATAGGCCTAGGATGTTTAACGAGGACTTCACCGTGGATCCACTTCTTGCTTTGTGGAAGGTCGCAACCACATTTCGTTTGACCTAGTCATACTTGCTTCGTTGTTGGGGTGCAACCAAGCTTGACAACAATGACACATGGTGACGTCTTTCTAGGTGTCCCGGTGCTAACCGTGTGTAGAAAGTGGCAATATGGTCACTTTGGCTGGCGTCCACTAGGGAAAGTCGGAACTGCTTGGTTGTTATTGCAATGAGCTTGACCATTATAATGCATTTGTATTTATTGGCGGCAAGCCCAGCAACAATGACACACGTTCTTTGTAAAGTTGGAGCTGATGTGTCACTATTGCCACAAGCCCGGCATTATCATAATGTTGTACATTGGGCTCTATCGTTACTCGTTACTTAGTTGTTTGTGGGTTAGTGTTGAATGTTGATGTATGACCTGTGCTTGTCGGCCGTTCTAACCACAAAGGTTATAGTTTCGACTAGATCTAAAGTAGTGAAAGAATTAATCTTTCTCATCACCACAATAAGCCACATCACTCAAAATATTACAACCGTTGGATCAAACTGACATAAAAAACTAGCCTTCTGATCTTTGAGTAGCGATTCAAACATGGTTAAGAAAACTCATGATTCTTTAGGAGGCCTCGAACTGAACACTCCTTAAACATCCACCCATGCACAGTAGAAAAATCCAACAGCCCAACAAGCAAGCGAGAAGAGCTGAGAGAGATCATGATCATCAATTGTTATTTGACTTTTTATGTGGACTTCTATTTACTGAATATGTCAAAGGCAAAATTTGGATATACATTTGTTGATGCGAAACACTACGGTCTGGGAGATCTGCTTAACTCCAGTGCAGGTCTAAGGCTAACCTTGAGTGTGTCAAGGGCGTGCCAGGTGATTTGATCCTACAATCAGCAAGAAAGAGAAAAGCAGAGTTAGTCAGCCGATAGCCGATCGGCCGATAGGCCGATAGGGTATCGTTGGTCGGCTCAGCTGATATAGTTAAACCAGATCGGCTAAGGACTTGGTAAAATAGAACATAATAAACCCTAAATATGCCTCATCGGTTATGATATCATTTGTTTGGGTTTGATAAATAGACTTCAGACGATATCATGTAAATAGTCGATAGAACAATATTTAGAGAAAGAAAAGATATTATACCAGCTAATACTCTAGTATAGACTTATATAGGCAAACTATGACCGGTTAGTATTTTAGATAACCCAGTCGATACCGATCTTAGCTTGATATAACTATATAAATGGATCCATTTATATAAGTGGCAAATATACATAAAACTTATGTAAAAAAGCATGTATATTAGGTAAGATCAGCTGAAACTCTGATTCTTTACTTAAGTATAATTGTTTCCATATTAGTTTCTAGGGTTCAATAAAAGACTAGGGATGATGCATCACAGAGTAGATAAAGAAACCTAGAGTCTAAATAATCAAGTAAACAATTACTTTTCAGGATGGTAGATGTCTTAACTAATCTAATCTAGTAGGAAGATTTAGCCAATACCAGCAAGAGCCCTAAAGTGAGAACCAATCGATAGAGATAAATCTAGATACTAAGACTAGATTAGCTAAGACATATGATAGCATATGACCATGATAAAAGAACTAAAACATCTAAAGCGACATAATAGCCCCAATAGCACAAGCCATCGAGACGTGTTACCTCTTGCAAAGCGAACTCGTTGAAAAGTAAAAACAAAAAGGGTGGCAATGCGCTGAAGTTGTATTGGATTGTCTCCCGTATTACAATACTAGGGGGGGTTCATATTTATACCCCGAGTCAAACCTTTCTAAAGATAAAATACAAACAAGACCATATACGGCGGTCTCTTTGTAACATACCCGAAATTCTAGGACTTAAAATTTCTTGTCAAAATAGTTAGAGGTTAACTTCTCCAATTTTTGAGAGCCAAAAATTTCCGTTTTAATTTAGGTGATGACCAACTTAAACCATTGCATGATTAAAATTTGAGAACAAAATAAAACCTTTTCATTCCCAACATTAGACTAGAAATGTCATCAAGCATTTGAGCATACATGTGCATAATACATGCCTAGGCTCGAGTCCCTTGTGCATTTGGATTATGGTCTCGCTTTTCATAAAAGGGTTAAAATTACTAAACAAACCTATAGTTAATCTTGGGTGATAACATGTGGACTTAATATTAAACTCAAATATCATCTTCTCAGCTCAAAAGAAGTTTAATGTAATCCCTGTAACAATATTAGGTGCAATTATGAAGTGGGAACACATATACAAAGTAAAGTAATCCTAATTCTCTAAAATATTATGTGCAAGTTAAAAACCATGGAAAAAAATTAGATAGACAATGTTTAGCACAAGCAATTCACTATAATATTGGTACAAGTTAATAACTAAGCTTAATACCACAAATTAATCAGTCAAAGCAGGAAACTAAAAGGAATCAAATTAAATTTTAATCGGCTAAAGCCATACTTCATCCAAAAGTACATTTAACTGCTCATAAGTGAACATGGAAAATAATTTATTCAAATACTAGATTATTTATCATGCCTAAATATAATTTTTCTAGAATTTTCCTCCTCTGTTTAAGCCTCCTAAAAATTCAATCTAGCTTTCTAATAGCCCATCTTTGTTTAAGTGAAACCAAAGAAAATGGAATCTAGATGTATCATCTACCACCAGTAAAATCTACACTAATTCTTCTAGTCCACAAATTAAGATATTGAGTTGCAAACTTAGGGGGAAGAAATAATTCCGGAAATTCATCAAAAACCAATCTCACCCATGTTTCTACCCAGACCTCTCTCTTCCACCTAGTTTACTTCGCCCTGGCCCCACCTGACAGCTACTATAGCTTGCTCCAGCGCTGTCAAACTTTTTCTCCACCGCTCCAGCCGATTAAACAGCCGAGAGAGAGAGAGAGAGAGAGAGATCGTTGGCGGAGGGAGTGCTCGACGCGTGGAGCTGACGTGCCAACGCCGAGCTTCACCCTCAACTCCTCTCAGACGCGTCGCCCAGCCACACTCACCATCCCAGAGCCGACGAATCCGAGAGAGAAGGCCCTCTGCCTCTCCGCTGCTCTCATCTCCATCACAGGCCGCGGGAGAGACGACCGTCGACAGCCTCTCTGAGCCACGGTCATCTCTTCTTGTTTAGTGTTCCATCATCTCCTCTTGATGCCGGTTCTATTCCCTCTAATCTCATTCCAAACCATGCAGCCAATCGCCGGGAACGAAAGCCTCGCCGATGACGCCCTGAAGCACGCATCGGAGCGCCGCTGTTTCGTCATCATTGTCGCCTGGCCGAATCCATCTATCTCAAGCCAAGCCGCTGCGCCGTGAAGTTTGCCTCGACTTCCTCTTCAAGACGCCTCAAGAATCACCATCGGAGACACTAGGAGCACGGAGAACACGCCCCTTTTTCCTCGGCGCCGATCTGAACCTGCCACCGTCGCTACTGCCGAATCCATCCTCTCCGGTGAGCCATTGCTCGATTCCTCGCACATACGCCACCATAGGGACCTCACTAACACTTGATGACTGCATGCATGCCAGTTCTTGGAGCTGTTCAAGCTATCATCGTCGACCCAGAGGAGATTGCCGCCGCCGAGCAGTTGCACGAGTCGCCGTCACCCACCAAGCTTTGCCAGTCCTGTCTAGCATCTCGGTGAGCATCCTGGACTCCTTAGGAAGCACATGCATGCATGTATCTAGCGAAAACGAGGCCCCAAAGCAGCATGCAGTAGCAGCCTAAGCACAGCCGTCGCTCAGACCCGCCGCCGGCGCTACTCCAATGTCCCATAACCAAGAAAACTAGAGGAATGGAATCGCGAGAGCTTGGTCTTCATTTTATCTTTTGACCTCAACCTCAAGCGAGCCACCGTTTGCCGCCGGCGAGCTCGAGATCGACCTCAGCCATGGCTAGCTCTGCTGTGTCTAGAGCAGAGGGATGACTTCCGTGAATTAGATTAAGCGCAGGGATCCGTTTACAATTGTAGAAACACACTGACATATGGGCCTAGGACTGCGGGTTGATTCCTAGAAACCCCAAGGGCCTTTGTGCATATTGGTCCCTCACAGCCATGTGGACCCCATCCTTTAAAATCTGAAGAATAATTAAGAAAATGCCCAAACAAATATATGTTTAGCAGAAAAATGCACAAAGTTGTAAAATCTATATAAAATCAAATATAGCTCATTTTGAAGTGATTCCAGTTGCTGTAGATTCTTGAAGTTATGAACTTTATTCCAGGAATATAAAACTTGACACTCACTGTACAAATAATGTCTCTAAAATTTATCTAAGATAGGTCATACATAAAACATGTACAAACTTATAAAATACATAGAAAATTCATCTCAACTCATTTTGAAACAAACTCAAAAACTGCAGATTCATCATCATGCACTCTCTGGTTAGGTGAAATAAAAGTAATTACTTACTTTGCATAAAATGCCTCTAAAACTATTATATCTAAAATGATTAGTTTTAGATAAGCTAAACTTTAGAAATTCATGTAGAACCCAATTTAGCTTCAATTTGAATAAACTTAAGTTCTATAGGATCACCAAAACACGTATTTCCATGTTATGAAATAAGATTATATACTTACTGTGTAGTAAAAGTCTCTAAATATTCATATAAGGATTTACTAACATAGAGCAACCTTTAATTTGTAAAACTTGTAGAGAATTTATTTTTAGTCCAAATGAAATGAACAAAGTTTCTATAGAACCAGCAAATAGTTAGCTTCAACATAGTAAAATAAAATTTGGCACCTTTTGTAGAGAACATAGATCAAAACCTTAACTTAGTGAAATAAGAATTTAAACACATAGTGTTATTTAAGTAATACATAAACATGTATAAGTATATATACACTTTAGGTATAATTAAACCTAAATAAAAACTTGATTGACCAGTGAGGCCATAGTTCCATACTCATCCACTAAAACTTAGAAGAACTTAACTCATATGACAATTTCTAGGTTAATATAATATATTGCTAGTTTAGATTAGAGCATCTCTAGTTTATAAAATATGAACCATAGTAGTACAGACCATAACATGTGAAATAAAAATGTTTTAGTTAACCAAATTATTCCTTTTATTCAACTTAAACAGGAAGTAGCATGTTCTAAACCTATAACTCAAAAGTCATGAACATATAAAACACTATATGCCTAAAACACGTTGTAACTTGTAAAATCTATAAGAAAATCACTATAACTCCAAAAATTGTGAAACCAAATGTGTTAGTCTTAGAAAACACATCTCCACACCCCTGTGAAGTCTAATATAATAAAAATCACTTTACAAAAGTATTTTATAACACTACCTAAGACTACTACTATAAACCGATAAAAATTCTAAAATTCATAACTCCCAAATGGAATAAGATAAAATAGATATTATTTCACCTAAATTCATTTTAGATCAGTACCAACCCACTGTGCATAAATCATGCATTTTAGAGCATTTTGGATTTTCAGCTCTTTCGGTGTTTAATTGCATAACGTGTCATTTATATAGATAATTGCATAATCGGTGAAGGACTGGATTAGGTGCTAACGTTTCTCTGATCAAGGCAAGTTTTCTCCTCCCATCCTTTGAACACATTGAATCCCATGATTTGAGGAATGAAAATATTTGTTTGCAAAGTTGCATGTGAACTTAGACTATATCGGTATTTAAAATTGGGTTAAGGTAGTTATGACCTATTTGCTACATACCCCCACCTTGAATAATTGATCCTCTTGCTGTTTGAAACCCTAGAAATGGTTAGAGTACACTCTTTGTGCTCAAATGGGTTTATATATGCTCTATGTGCAACTACTTGCTTAGCCATGCTTAGAAATATGCAAATGCTCATTCCATCTATAATTAAAATGTGATTTTGATACATGAACCTTTGCTAGAATAAAATGAATATGATGGGTATTTGCGAACTAAAATGTGTAAAATGTGATTTTATACTTGGGCGGCAAGTGGTGTGCATATGGTGTTAGTTGCATACCGATAGGGGGAGTGTTTGCCCAAGTCCATAAGGACCGAACTTGTGTCACCCATTTAAAGTTATTCGTACATCCACATGTGCTAGTATGGGATGGTCTAAGCTGATTAATCTATTTAGGACTAGCCTTGCATTCTGGTAGGCCGGTGTGTATGAGTTCGTATAATTCAGAGGAGCTTCCTATTTACCCCGACGTGGTAGTTTAGGTGACTAAACATGTCCAATACAACGGTATTGTGCCACGTGGTGGGTTCCCGTCGTGTCCGCCACCACGGCGTTAAGTTTAAGGCGTGGGCCCACCACTTAACGGTTCTAGACATATTTCCAAGTATGCCTAGGATGGAGGAACACGTATCGTGCTGGTGCAAGGCTAGATTCTAAGTAGTGTAAAGGATTCGTTGTGACCTCTAGTCCGCACTCATAATGTAGAGTGTGTGGTACTTGGCCGGCACTGAACCAACTAGAGTGTAGCCTCTAGGCTTCTATCATATCATGTGGGTAAAGGTGTACAAACTCTGCAGAGTTCTTTAAACTAATCGATTAGCCGTGCTCACAGTCAAGAGCGCTTTGGTGATGTGTCATGAGTATTTAAACTAATCGATTAGCCGTGCTCACAGTCAAGAGCGCTTTGGTGATGTGTCATGAGTATAGACTATGTTTTAAAAATGTAATCATGTGACATTGGTTTGAAATTGATAAATGTGTTGAGTTGTGTGTGTGGTGATACATTATGACTTATTGTTAAGTATGACAATAAGAGATTGATTATGATGGAATTATGAAGAAGTTAATAATGAAACTTAAAACTTGTCTTTGTTAATTGAAGCATCAACTCCTTTACAAAAGAATTGCGAAACAAAACTTGCTTTATGCTGAAATTAAACTACATATTGCCTTCCTTTGAATATATGTCTTACATGTAGTATGATAGGATTGATTTGTGCTTGCCAGTACATTAAACAAGTTAACTTGTTTAATGTACTGACTTGCTGTTGATATAACCTTTTGTTTGCAGGTTTAGATTTAGTCTTTGAGTGATGCGGGTTCCGATTGCTTCTTCTAGGATGAGAACTTAATGGGGTAAACCCCTAGTCGATGTGCTTGTGATTGGGTAGTCAAGCTTCCGCTGTTCTCTAATAAGTCTATTTGGCCGGTCGGTCTATGTAATTATTAAGTTGTTGTAAGTCTTAAGTTTCTTTTATCTTAGTTGTGTTTGCTATGTATAATCATGTTTAAGATGAAAGTGTGAATCTAGTGCACTAGTGCACATCCTGGGAACTAGATTTACATGAGTATGAGTTAGGAATATTTGAGAGGTTGTAGATCTTTAGCTATTTTTGTCAAGTTTCCTGAATGTGTAACACATCTGGTCGCCGCCTTCGAGTGGTTTGACGGGCACATATCAGGCTGAAGTTGACTGGCAGGCTAAGGGCTTAGCAATGTCTTCAATATTTCTCTCTCGAGGCGTCCGATGTTTCATTATGCTTGTTTGATGACTTGAATTATTCACTTCATCTCTCAAATATAATGGAAGGTCTGGAGAGCCTACGACACTCTTACCGAATCACTATCAAATCGACTCAAATACCCTACTCTAATTGGCAATGATAGTCATTCTAATATAGGCCCAGACCGAGCACAAGTCATATCATATTGGCTGTATCGGCCATCAGCCTCATAAACCTTGATCAACTTACACTCTGTCTTCTAGCAAATACGGTATCCAGCCGATGCGCAATCCGACTCCAAATTCAACTCGATTCCACACCAAATCTGCTTCGATCTTCTTCTTTCTTCTCCGAATTTGATGCAAAATTCCGTTGTTAACAATATTATACAAAATCTCTCTGATTTGATTTTGTCTTCGACATAAGCCCCCATAGGCTTTTATGTGGGCTTGGCTTCACTTTTATATAATGACCCATGTATATATACTCCAGGGGTGTTGATTACGTGAAGAATAACAACTCAATCATGTTAACATGAATTCTTGAGGATAACTCTTCAACAAGGCATAGTGCTGAAGCTGGTCACCAAGCAAAAAAAAAAAGTCTAAAACAACTACTTATAAAGGTAAACTAATACTATGTAAGTACAACGTTATTATACAATATTTAATTCTGGTAGCAACAATATTTTGTGTTGTATACATATAAACCCAAGACTTCATATTTACCACTTAAGCAGCTATTAGTTAGGTCTACTATATACTTTTTGGACACAACCATTGTGAGCCTTATGCATTATATTGCTGAGTAGATGTTCTCATCACTTGAGCATACGGTACAGCAAGTAATGGCATTAAGACCTAGAAGAAGTTTGCTTGTGTAGAAGAATTCCACAAGAATAAGAAAATATCTCAATGTGAATTCTAGATGAACATTAAATACACAAGAAGATGACGACGTGATAAACCTTGAACTCCACTCGATACGCTCACGGCTTTGATTGGCCTGATCTTTCGGTGAGTTGAGATAACTACGATTTGGGAGCAACGTTGACGATCCGACTACAACCTTACAAGACGTCGTTGTGTTACGCCTTAGCGATCGATACACCTCCCCCTTGGTTGTTGATCTTGCTGGTGCAGATCAATCTTATTCCTGCAAGCAAATCGAAGAAACAAGTAAGAACAAGATAAAAGCAATATGATATTGCAAATAGGAATTGAATAAACATGATAAGTTGGGGTTCTGAAGACGAGCAATTAGGTGGTATAGCCAACACACGTAACTACAAGGTAAAGTAGCAATGGCTAAAACTTTAATCTAACAAAACCCGAGAAATTATAAAGAGGTCCTGTTGACGGTCGTTATCGATCAGTTTCGACTGTCAATATTACTAAAATAGAGGAGAACTAGTGATGCTTGCAATGGATAAATATATTAAAATAATAATATTCCACTAGTATTAGGTATACTAACATTTTTCAGAGAATGACCATAAAGTGGAGGAGAATCGACATCAACACAGACGATAAATCAATCGGACGATGTCGAGAACCAGACTTATGTATGAATGGGCCAAGAACTCAGAATTGACACGACAAACTGAGCCAAAATTCACAAGTCTGCGGAGAAAAACAACAGAGTAGGGGTGGGCATAAAAACCGTGAACCGAAGACCGAAGCCGAAAAAACCGTAACCGAGGCCGAAAAAACCGAATTTCCAGTTATCGGTCACAACATCGTGTGTTAGGTCTAAAAGACCGAAGTTCTTTCGGTGAGTTCGGTCATCGTCGTTAATTAACCGAAAAAACCGAAGGACCGATCAACCCAACTGCATGTATTCTTTTCCAGGCCCATTAGTCTATTGCGTGTGTACAGCCCACAAGCTAACCCTCCTTTAAAGAGAAAAAAACACCTTATCACTTATCCCCATATTCCCCTCCACACAGAAATCACGGATGCGGCATCTCTGCAAGCTCTCACTCCGCCGCCGACGGAAACGAGAAAACTGCATCCCGCAGTCACGCCTCCGCTTCTTCCCATGAGCTTCCATTCTCTTCTCCCCTTCCCTTCTAAGCTTCAATTGCTCCACTGCCCAGTGCCCATGAGGCCATGAACCGAGGATCTGAGGGGTGAGGCAAGAAACGCCGCAGGCTTAGGCTCGGCCACCCGCAGTTGGTCGCCTTGGAGGCGCGGCCGCGCGGGGTTGAGCAATCGTCCGCGAACGAGGAGGGTTGAGCAAGCTGGTGCGCCGGAGGTAGGCAAGCAACAGATGCCGGCTTGGGGTTTCTGGTTTATTGATTTAGTCAATGGGGAAATGTAATCTATGACTTTATGACTTTTTGTTTGAGATTTTGATTAATCTCTTTGTGAATTTGTATATTCAGGACGTAATTGATAATTTTGATGCATTCCCATGTTTGGTTGTTCTGCTTTTGCTTATTTACTTCGATGTGCACCTTGTTAAATCGGTCAGCTCGGGTAAAACTGAAGACCGACCCGACACTTCGGTTACCCGAAATGTCGGTCCATGAATTTTTTGTTGCAAATATCGGGTTCTTGTTTTCAAAGACTGAAGTTTTAAAAACCCGAACAACCCTGGCCGATTTTTCGGTCTAGACCGAAAGCCCACCCCTACAACAGAGGAGGCCGCCAGCTGAACCATGGGTTGGTTGGGCCGGCCCCAAGTTTGGCCAAACTTCTCTCATCGCCGCTGGATGCAGGGTTTCTTCTGGACGGTGTGGATTAGCTCTCAATGACGGTTGGAGGGTATTTCTGACCATTCCAACCGTCACAAACATCATTGGGGTGCTATATAAACCCCTCACCTTCTCACTTCACCCACACACCTCAAGCAATAGCTCTCTCATTTCTCTCAAGTTTCCTCACCTTCTCACTTCACCCACACACCTCAAGCAATAGCTCTCTCATTTCTCTCAAGTTTAGTTTAGTAGTATCTAGCTGGTGGAATAGGAATAGAGTAGAAATCAGGAGTCCGGAAGCCTTCCGAAGAGTTCGGGTATGACTCTAGTAGCTTTTCTCTTCTCTTTTGTAAGCTTTGTACTTTTATTAGAATACTCTTCTTTATATATTTATGGTATTAAAATACTTGCCGAATATATGAATATCTACTTTATATTATGTTCATGTTATACTGAATATACAGCTAACTTATCTGGGAGATGCTTTGGTGCGGGTATAATGTTTACTTATGCAATTACTCTGTCATGACAATGATATTAGAGTAGTATCTGGTAGTTTAGGCGTGGTGTCTAGATTACGGGATATTATTATTTGGGGTTATATATTGCGGATGAGAGGTGGGCCGCTGATGGTGACAGCTCAGTACGGGTATTCCTCCGCGCCGGTATATAATCCTAAGTTAATTCCCTGGGGAGGGTATTCCTCCGTATTTAGCCCGGGTTGTATGGTCATGACGGACTGTCGTAAGGAACTCGGCAGTCAGTGATGGCTTCTCGAAGTACCAGGAAGGCATCGAATAGAGGGTATTAGCTAGTATATCAGTTAACTATAATGTATGTATACTATGTATATTAGAAGTATAGGAATAGATTATCTTTCTCTTTTCTATCCACTTAGGTTAGATGATATATTATGAGAATGAGTAGTTAATGCTTGTGTGTCACTCTACCCTTAGATTATCTTAACCCCTGCTTAGAATATGATTATCACAAGTAATATATAAATTATTAGTCAATGTTCTCTCTATATGATCTTTCCACGGGATAAAATAAATACGATACCATTGGAATACTCTCGGGTGAAATGCTACAATGTTATATCCGTGCGCTTGCGGATGAACTCTGTAACCATAATAAACCAGGAGTATTTTTGCGTCATTGCTGGGAATTATATTTCTAGTAATGTCGTTAAGAAATACTAACAGGTACCTAGCTATTTAAGGAGGCTATTTAAGGAGTTGGGATGATGACCAAGGGGTCTCTAAGGTCATGCTCCACCAGATTGGGGCGCACCCCATATGGGTCCCACTTAGGCTAGGGTCCAAGACGAAGTTACGGGCTCATAGGCCCATTATAGATGACACAATACCTTGGGCGGATGACTAAGATGGAATTTTAAGATGAGGTTGGATCCTTTGGAAAGAGGACTCCGAGATCTTTCCATCAAGTAATCACAGGCCGAAAACAGAGGTTGTATGCATATTTGGCGGCCGTTTGAAGTCAGCAATGTAGCAGGTGGCCGAATCAGATTCCAAAACTCATGTGGCTTGATCTTGATGTCTCCCAGTTGAGCTATGATGTGAGCAACGGTTGCATCAATAGTGGCTATGATCATATCATGACGGTAGGTTATTTATGAGTTATAAGGCATGGGATGTTGGCCTTAACATGGGCTGGCCAGACGAGACTTAATTACTCCCCAAAGTAGATTGTCATATTGCGAGCAGCTCGAATGGAATTTTGACATCAATTTCATGGCAACAGTGAAGCACGTCCGATCAGGACAGTCTGACTAGGTCTTGTTAAACTTGTTGGGATTAGCATGTGTATCCAAGGAAAAACTTTCCTTGTCATACAATTGTTCTATATACCACTGGTATGAAAGGTGAATGACATTTAGCATCAACATAATTTTCTTTATGAAAAATGTTCTAAAATGCTATAGGTAATAGTATATGCATGTTTTAATTATTCCATCATATAGATAGTCCTAGAATATCTATAGTTCCATAAAAAAAAAATTAGAGCGTGACATTTGTTATAGATCTAATGACCATAATACACTGTAAATATTGCTTGGGTAGCTTTCTATTTATAAATTGACTATTTATTATGTTATACATTTTTAAACTAGAGGTAAAGGCGTAAATAGTTATTTTCTATTTTATATATATATATATATATATATATATATGTATGTATATATGTATGTATGTATGTATATATATATGTATGTATGTATGTACTACTACCGGGAGCAACTACTCCCATCTTATCTATGTGGCAGTGCAAATTTCTGCTATTTCGGAGTCCCCATTGGCGTGTTAATTAGCCATGTCATCCAACCCGTTTAGAATGATAACCATTATTTTCATGGGATACAAACAATTTTGAATGCATGTTAGTTCATCCGCCAGAGGAGCAGAATATGGACACTACGATTGGCAGAAACCATTTTTTCTCCCATTGATGTTCTGTTCCGTTTCCAAATAATGTTCTGCTCCTTTCCAATCGATGTTCTGTTCCGTTTACAAATAATGTTATGCTCCTTTCCAGTTGATATTTTTCTGCTTCTTTTTAATTTCCTGCCTTTCTTAACGTCTTCTGCTTAGTGACGATTTTGTTGAAGGAGCAGAAGATGTGCTTCTGTTCAAATTAGTTTTCTGCTCCCTTTCTAACCGATGTTCTGCTCCTTGCCTCCTTTCCTAGGTCACATACTCCATACTGCTTCCTTTCATGTTTCTGCTCATTTTCAAGTCTTATAAGCTTCATATAGACGATGAGATTCAATTTAACAGGCAGAAGGTATTCTGCACTTTTTATTCCTTGTTCTATGCGTTCTTACAAATTTGAAATGACCTGAATGGACACAACAGACGTCACAAATTATGGGCCGGGGAGCAAAAGATGTTCTGCAATTGTTTCTGCCGAGTCCTATGTCTAATAGTGAATGGAATCGGTTTGTGAAAGAGCAGAAGATATTCTGTTATCTCTACCATCCATTGATTCAGGAGGGGGATTATAGCTTTCTGCTGCACAAATTCTGTTATGCCGTTGTGATTAAAAAGAGTATCATCCCTCAACTCGGCTGTGTTGTACATCCATACCAACAGAAACTATCCTGAGCAAAATATAACATACCTATTTAAGTATGTAAACATAAACTGCAATTAGTAATCAATAGGCAGAATATGAACTGCCGTTACATAGAGAAAAAATTGGTATTTGTTCTGCCAACAATTTGTTTTTTCGATGATGTTCTGCCATTTTCTTTTTCTGATGTTCTGCCATTTTTTTCAATTGGCCAGCTACATATCTTCTGACGGTTAGAAGCAGAGCATATTCTGCCAAGGCGAGCACATAGGAACAAACTCCAACCGAATGTTTTGCATGCAGCCGATGATTTAGCATTTATTTGAACTAATAAACTATTTAGTTAATTACTTAATTAAACAACCCGGTCTGCAGAAGTTTAGTAGATTCAGGGTTATTCCGTTAAATCGATCCGTTAAGGGAAGGGTTACTCCCGGGCACCATGGTATCAAATGCACAAAATCATTCAAATATTTCAAAATTTTCAAATTATGAGTATATACCTAGTTATAAGAATTCGATTTATACCTACACCTAACAACAAAACAACTCAAATTTAACTTTATCTCACAATCCATGATTACATACCTAACTAATTATATGTTTGGATGCTATATACCTAGAATCAAAATCTAACAAAAACAAGTTCAAATTCAGTTCAAACTTGCTTTGAACTAGTTAGTAAAGTAGTTAATGTTAATATCTAAATATTTGAAAAAGTTTCATACTCATTTGAATTGGATATATACTCAATTTCAACAATGGTGCCCGGGCACCATGGAGCACCAAACAAATTTATAATATATATATATATATATATATATATATATATATATATATATATATAAACATGTATCAAGTGAAGTACATAAATTTTATAATATATATTTTTTTATATAATATAAACAATACACTGCTAATGACTATACTTACTTAAAAAGTAATGTAGTAGCATTAAAATAAATAAAATTTATAATAGTTTAATAATATTATGTAAGTTTTCAGATTTCATATTAAAAGAACCTACGAACAAGAAAATCGGGCTGCAAGAACCGGATTTTCTTCTGAATTATCTAAAATTCAGAAGACAAAAATAATCGAGGACCAAACAATACCTAGCAAGAAGTTGCTTAATCTCTAGAGCTATGATCTTTATATTGGTTTTTGCCAATCTAAACTAACTCATCACAACTAATGAAAATCTAAACTAAAGATAATGAAGGGATGAATTCAAGAGATTCAACGCAATGATGGAACCAACTAAAGAAATAGATTCATCGCCGGTTGAAGCGTCCCGTCTACCGCTTCTGCTTGCGATTCTTGATATGCCCCGTCTTGCTGGTGTCAGCGGCGGCCTGCCAATTCAAGCCAGGAGGCATCGCTATCTGCGTCCCCAATGATGCTGCAGTCACCTTGCGTCTCCAATGATGCTGCAGTCACCTTGAAAGAGGCCGGACACAGGAGCTGCTCAGCTGGAACCGGGACCACTTCTTTTTCTTGTTTGTCATCAGGAGCTTCGAGAGGTCTGGAGATGGAGATTCTTCCGATCGTCGCCAAGCTCCCCTCTGCTGCTGCCGTGCGCCCTCCCTCTCCTTCTGATTCTGCCTGCGCCCACTCTCTCCCTCGCTCTCTCTTCTACTAATTGACGATGAAAGAATAACTCGAGGAGAAAATACAAATCGGTGGGCTCCCTTCCCCTACCTTGTACCATTACTAGTAATGTACCATTATATAGAGCGTCTTGATTCAGCGGCTTAGTTTTTCTCTCTAACTCCAAATACCACCCTTGATATCATAAACTTCAAAACTCATTTTTTTATTTTTCTTTCAATTCAATTCGTTAGTGACTCAATTATGCTTCCATTTTCATTTTCAATTCAATTTGTTACTGACTCAATTATGCCAATGGCGCCCTCGGAGAAATATGAATCGGAACGGAAGGCAGCTGTTCTAAGGCGATGTGGCGGCGGAGAGGTGTACTAGCTGCGCTGGTCACCGGTTGCTACTTGCGGCTCCTGCATGCGCGCGGTAGGATGGCAGATTGGTTGTTGGTGGCTTGATGACTGTCATTCCGATGAGGGCCGGATCCACTGGTGGCGCTCCAAAAAAGCTTCGGATCTGATGGTGGTCGTTCAGGGAGGTACGGTAGTGACGCTGACGGTGGCCGACGTCCAGGCTATGGCGGTGCCGCTTGATGGCTATCGACCGATGTGATGGTGGTGATGGCGTCGGTGGTGGCCGAGAAAGGTGGCAGTGGAGGTGGTTACCGGCCGGCCTTGCACTCCGATGATGTGTGGCCATGCCGCCGTGGACGTGGTGGCAGCGAGGACTAGCGGCGTCGGCGCTCTTGGTGGTGGCGACATAGTGATGTTGGGCGGTGTCGGGGGCTAGTCCTCCGATCCGTCCATTCCTCGGTCACAGGAGGAGAGGGCTGGTGACGACGGACAGCGGTGAGGGACTAGCCCTCCCCCTGCAACGGCGGCTCAACTAATGGGTATGGTGATAGTGGTGGTTGGTTGGTTCGGCCATGGCAGTTTGTGATGACGATGGCGGATGCTCTTGGTGTTGGTGTCCTAGGGATGGCGGTGACTTGGCGAGGTCCGGCGCTGGTTCTGACCATGACCAGGTGAGGACAAGGGATGGTGATCATCGATGACGGGGCTGGTTGACAATGCAATGGTCGTTGGCTCGCCCGATGCAGATAAGGACGACAGCAACGAAGGTTCTTGATGACTGCATCATAGGGAAGGTTGCTACCAAGCAAGCATCGACGCAAAGGTCTGGTTACGGTTATGTCTCGATTGCAGTGGAGCGTCTTCGACAAGTTCTTGATTGTAGAGGCAGTGCATGTCATGCTAAACGGCTCCACGACGCTCTAGAAGCGACAGTGATATCGATGGTCTACAGAAGATGGTGGTGGCGCAGCAAGGACGCTTCGTGACGCACTAAGGGCGTTCAGAATGCGGCTGCAGCTTAGGTGTTTTGGACAGGGCGTAAGGTGTTTTGGATGGCGATGGCAGACAGAAAGCATAAAAGTTGGCAGCAGATGGTGATTGTGTTCTGCAGAGGGAGAGATGATGCGAATATAGGTAGCTCGGACTAGTTCTAATTCTCCTCTTTCCCCGTCTTGCACTGCGACGGAAAGAATAAGTCTTCGATGAAGGTTGGAGCTAAGTCTTCTCGCTTTTTTTTTTGTGTGCGTGTGTGTGTTTGTTTCTTTTCCTCAGTGTGAGGTTTAGAGTCTATGATCTCGTGTATGTGTTTTGGCTATGTATATCCTTTGTAGATATAGAGACCGGATTAATGAAAAATCTATTATCTAAAAAAGATTTGTTGGTGACTAGTATTATGACAATTATGCTTCCAATTTGTTACGATTTCACTACATGTTGTACGAGCCAATTTATTTGAAAAGCATCCGTGCTTGACCACAACATTTTCATCCTCCCAATCGAGATGAACGTATTTACAAGTTGTGCACTTGTGTACACACAATTGCAACGTTTTCTTTTTCCTTTTCAATACTTTGTTTGTCGGTACCAACACTTGAAAATTTTGAAAAAACGCCGCCGCTAGCGCAGGTGTCCTCTAACATCTTCCTGATCATGCCCCCACTACTGATATGTTTTTTCTTTGAGAACTACTACTGATATGTTCGTCTTGTTTTTTTATTCATACTAGAAAGGTAAAGATCATTTAATTTGTATACATGTATCAACGGATAAATAATCAGACATGATGAAGAAAAAGAACATCAATCATACGGGAAAGCACGATATGTCGTCCTGCTTTATCTCAAGTAGAGCAAGAATTGACGGAGGAATTAGCAACTTTAATCAACCTTTTCAGTTGGCATATTCTTTTAGAAAGTATCTACGTGTCCTGTTAACCGTTTGGTATAATACAAATGGAATCAGATGATACAAAAGTGGGCAACGATGTACATAAGATCCACACGGACTTTGCGAGTCTCGTTCGCTTGCTATCTCCACATCCACACGGACTCTCGTTCGCAGGTTGCTCGCGAGTCATGACCCACGCAGTCTCCTACGCATAATGGGAATTGGACACGGATGACGTAACAAAAGTTTTGACAAAAATATCTTCCATTTTATAATAGTATATATCTATACAAATATTTAACATTTATAAAATAATTTGATTAAACTTTAGAAATTTTGATCACCAATAATTTTTTAAGTGTTTAGTTTAAAAGCAGAAGAAAATATATACATAGTTAAAGAAGTACTATCAAAAAAATAATCCAGTTTTGAAATGAAGGGGAGATCATCTCATACCTCCCGTTTAGTGTTCCCATTAGAATTTAGAACTGTCCATAGTCATGCATGTGTGTGTTGGAGAGCTGCCTTGCTTGGGGGCTGGGCGCAGCAGGCTCATCCGATGGGAACGATGGACAGAAAACCCAGGTGACCAGGGAAGAGCAAGGAGCCTTCGGCTGTGTCTGGGAAACAGGACTTATTTCAAGACCCTATCACATCGGATGTTTAACATTAATTTAGAGTATTAAACATAGATTAATTACAAAATACATTCTATAACCTTGGACTAATTCGCGAGACGAATCTTTTGAGCTTAATTACATTATGATTTGACAATGTAATGCTACAGTAAAGTTATTATAATTATGGATTAATTAGGCTTAAAAAATTCGTCTCGCAGATTAGCTCTCATTTATGAAATTAGTTTTTTTATTAGTCTATGTTTAATACTCCAAATTAGCGTCTAAACATCCGATATGATATGGACTAAAAAAGTTTTAGCCCCATCTCTTCACGTACAAGAGGGATCTGGGGAGGAAGACGAGTCCGATCGGTCATTATCTAAAAGAAATATTTCTATGCATGCCACCATGCTCGCTACTCACATGATTCCTGAGACCGACTCAATGATGAGGCAACGTACCAAGCTTCCAGCAACAACAATTTTAATTGTTATAATAGTAGAGATATGTGAGATGAGCGGAAAATGAACTTATTTTAGGATAGAGAGTACATGTGTAACCACACTACCATAAGAAACGTTATCCATATGAATATATACTTACTTCGTCCAAAAAGAATCAAATCCTAACTATAAATCTAACCAAATGCTTGTTTAGGGGTTCATAGCCAGAGTTCGAGGTTTTTTTTGGACGGATTACATCTCAGTGGAAATCTGACATTGTAGTATCTCTGAACTCAAATATTGTCAAGGTTCCATTTACAATACTACTATTGTACAAAACAAAGTTAAAGCACATATCGACACGGTAGAGCGGAAACGCCTAATGCCGAGTTTCATCATAGTCCCTAAAATTTTCAAATTCTACGAGAAAACAAAGTTCTGAACAAGATTGCCAAACAGCACAAGATTGTGCCTGTCTGCGTATCAATCGGTGTAGGACTTTTCAAGTCAAGTTTATTCAGCATCCACTAGCATTTTTTACATCGATAAGCCAAAAGTTTTCGGTACTACATGCTAGCTACTAGACTGTGACAGACGATCTGGGCGCACACTTCCTCCATCGAGACAAATTTCATCATCTGGTAGCGGCGGTTCATTCCCCATATCCCTAGTCTTGTGCAGGAGAAAAGTTCCTGCAACGATGGTCACAAAACCACATAACTGTGTTGCAATCTGTGTTGCATTCCGTGAGAATGAATCCTGGAATAGAAAAGGCAACGATGGCCAAATATATCAGACAAAAATGGCAGATTGTCAGTTGAATTGGAAATACAAAACAGTTATTTGAACTCAAAACACTCTTGGTCATTGCAAGAGAACATCAAGCTGAAAGGATAATGCTGTAACTGCTGATGGGATGTAATTTTGAAATAGTAGGATCCATTGAAGTCAGGGACACAGGCCAAAGCAATAAGTGATGAACAACCTTGTGGAGTTGTGGTCTAGTGAGTTTTTCTTTTTCTTTTTTTTTATTTATAAAGATGGTCTAGCAGATTAATTTCCTCCAAATGAGTTATCATGGAAACACCTAAATAAAAGCCTGGAATTCCTACACCCAGCAAAACAAAACATGATCTTCAGATATAGAAAAAAAAAACTGAAGTTCAACCTATACATTTGAACTCGTGAGATATAAACAAACCTTAACTGCCTAAATCTTATTATCTGCAGAGATACCTGGCAGTTATCATAATGCAATTCAAAAAACAGTTTAAACTTTTTTATAATTCTTTAATGTACATTCAGAAGAAAATAAGAAAAAGTAAAGCAAAAGCTTCATATATTATTGATAAGTTTTTTTTTCAAATATATAGCTTATTGCTAAAAAGTTTCTTCTAATTTGTGGCACAGTGCCAGTCAGTACCAGGGTTTGCAATTTCGGTTGCCACCGAAATTTCGGTGGTTGCCGAAAATTTGAAAATTTTGTGATTTCCGGGTTTTTCGGACCGAAATTATTTGAACTTTTAACATGTTTTGACTGAATTTGAACGAATTTTGACCAAATTTACAAATATTTGAGAAAAAAACAGAAAATTTTGGGGAGATTTGTGCTTGCTGGTGGGGGCCGAAATTTCTGAAATTTTGAACCGAAATTTTAAACCATTGTCAGTACTAATCTGGAGCGCATTTTCTCTCAGGGAGACAAACACTACAGGAATCACATTTGCAGATACAATTTTAAAGCTATTTGAAAGTAACAAGTACATCACCTTGTACATAATCATGTTAGCAAAAATAGTAAGTATGGTGAACATCACGTAGTACACAGGAGAGACCACAGCTGTATTAAATGAGTCCAGTGCCTGCAACAAATTAAATAGTCAGAACTCAAACAGAGTTCAAACACATATTTCTGCAGCAGCCTTTATGATTTAGAATTATCAATAAATAGTACTACGTATCTATTTTAGAAATAACTCACAATTTGGATTATTAGTGTACAATCATATCTTCTCCTTTACTTTCAGAACAAATTATTGACTTGAGTAGTTATGCTTTGATGATAAGGATTGCAAAAAAAAAAAAGACATATTCCAAAGTGTGTTACACCTGCACTTACCTTTGGAAAAACTAAAGCAAATAAAGCATTTGCCATACTTTCATAGGAGTAAAAAATAACAAGCTGGCCGTAATATGCTAGACTGCTTGCTTAGTATAGGTTATGAAACAAACATAGGGAAATAAATATATTTGAGTAATTGAGGCTTAGGTCATGTCAGACATTATAGAGCGATTATTTGCATATTGAGTTACACTTTTTGACATAAGCTGAAATGAAATTGGAAGCATAGAAGGTTTAAAAGTTTGTTGCAGAATAGAGCACCTCATGCATGGCCAAACATGATCACCCATTTAAGCAAACTCACACATAAATGCAAATTTACACAAATGGCATCAACATTATGAATGCTTACCTTATTTAAGTAGTTCAACTGCACCAAACAACAAACTATAACAACTACTATGAAGAACCATGTTTGGATGTAGATGAACTGATTTGATCCACCAAATGACAGCTTCAAGGCAATGGCAACTGCCTTTACACTGATAACCTGTTCCAAAAACCATAATTGTATTAATCCACAATCACTAACCACATCCATTCAATTAACTGAATCCAAAGGTGATGTATGTCTTATATACCGTGAGAGATCCCATTGTTGAACAGATTGCAATATAAACAAGCATCTTCCTGTGTCCAGAACGTTCAGCAACCCAGAAAATCAAAAATAGAACAGACACCACAGCCACACATGAATAAACAATAAAACCTGCAGAAGTTATCCAGATAACAAAACCTTGTGGTTAACATTCTATAAGAAGTTCCATTCTTAGAACAAGTGAGAGAATAAGTAAATGCTCGCAAGAGAACTTTAAGATCATTATTATTGGGATATATTACCCAAAGTTGCAAAATTTTGCGATGGTTGTAGTCTTGCAATTTTCCATAGTATTGGTCAAGTCAGGGAATACATTCAGTTTTACCCCATAAAAAGGGGAAAAAATTAAACATCCACATTGGATACATCGTCCTACAATTAGCAGATTTAGTAATAAAGCTTCCTCACAAAAAAAAAAGATTATGTAGTAACACATGAAAATACTAGTGTTTTTTAAAATGTTAGCAGTACAAAAGTATCCTACGGTATACATATTATATTAATACGAAAAGATAAAAATGGATCCTGTTGGTTCTTTATTGACAGAAGTATTCAAGTAGTTTACCTGGCTCAGTAGCAAGATGCCATATTTCATCTATTGAATCAATCTCTCTCTCCTTTGGGGCATGCAAAACTATACCAACAGAGCCAACAACACACAAGATACAGCCAACAACACCAAACATATGGAGTTTTTCTTTCAAGACGAAGTGTGCGAGCACTGCACTGCATGAACAAAATAGTAAAGAAAACAAAAAACATACTTTGATGCATGAGTAAATTATAGAATGTGGTATGGATACTACCTAAATATAATGCTAAGAGCTCCTAGAGGAGTAACAAGTACAGCGGGAGCAAATGCATATGCTGCAAAGTTTGCTACCTCGCCCAGAATCACTGCAAGGTAAAACAAGATGATTAGGAATAACGTTTGAGCTTCCGGTTCATATCACAAATATTGGTTCACATCTAAGTATCAGTATCCAGTATGTTGATTTGAACTCTGTATTAATGAGATGGCTACCCTTTTTGAAAGTGAAATAATCAGAAAGGGAAATGTAAATAATAATTATAATAATAGGATAGATCGCAGCAGTGATATTGAATTGCAGGGCATGATGCTCATAAGCACTACTCCCTCCGTTTCACAATGTAAGTCATTCTAGCATTTTCCACATTCATATTGATGTTAATGAATCTAGACATATATATCTATCTAGATTTATTAACATCAATATGAATGTAGAAAATGCTAGAATGACTTACATTATGAAACGGAGAAGTACTTTTTAGCGATTATATTCTGCAGATAAATTGCTAAGTTGAAAACCATCCATGTTTTTTTTAAAACAAAGGTCCTAATCTGAGTATCAAGTGTTCAGAATTAAGCTGATCCAAGATTTGCTTTTTCTCAAACTTTGCAAAAGTACCTACTCCGGATTCCTGAAATCCTGAATCATATGATAATTTAATTGAAGTGATGTAAATCATGTGGATTGGCCCTAGGATTACTGTACTGGTGGTGGATCTACACAAAACTTAATGCTATAATTATAGCATTCAGTGATTATGCTTCACACTAACCCATCATCCACCATTTTTTTCTTCTATTTTTTATGGTTGAAGTAAACAACAAAAAAGTGAACCAGTACCTATATTCAACTAGGACTTATTACTCAAGGTGTGTGACACAATTCAGTCAGTAGTGAGCAGCAAATCCACAATGCAGAATACTTGATTTTTTAAAAAACATATGACTAGAATACTTCAAAAGGCATGGTTCTAATACACACTTACTAGTTATCATCCCCAACCACCATAATGGCTCATACAAGTATGAGAAACCTCCAGAACCTACAGTGCATATTAAAAAATATGAACAAGTAATACTACATAAAAGGCTGAAAGAATTCAAAACTGCACTTGAAAACATTATGCAATTCTACATATAAAAAGCATTTGTTTGCAATGTCAAAAGTTCATTCAGTTTATATAGTTGCTGGAAGATGTACAACCTGCTCTTACCCCAGAATCCCCAGCCTTCTTGAGCCCAATTTTCTTGATAATAAAGCTTGATCCGATAAATGCACTTGATGATATGGCCAGGGTCAACCCTCTCACATTGTCTATAGATGTTACCATGCCTTCTGGAATGAGAACCTATGAACCTATACCTACAATCCAAAATAGTCTAATGAAGAAAACATTTCATATATTGAACTTGTAGACAGTGATGTTCAACCTCAGGTTGCTTTTGCATTAACTCCCATGTAATCTGTAGAGAAAGTGGAATAGATGCCTCACCAATGTGGGGAGGTGAACTCTCATATATATATATAGCAGAATTACAATCAATACTAGGGAGTTACATAAGACCAAAGGTCTAGGAGAGTAACTATCTAGGAGTGTAAAAGTTTAGGAGATAAACAGCCTATAGATTAATAAATAATCCTAATACCCGCCCACGGTCGCAGCGGGAGGAGCACGAACGCACAGACTGGACCGAAAATCAGTAAATAACTGAACCGGCAAGCCTTTGGTCATGATGTCCGCGAACTGGTGCGATGAAGGGACATGAAGTACCCGGACTTGTCCCAAAGCCACCTTTTCACGGACAAAGTGGATGTCGATCTCGATATGCTTCGTCCGTCGATGATGCACGGGATTCGCTGTCATGTAAACAGCACTGACATTGTCACAATAGACAATAGTAGCCGAAGCAATCGGGACATGAAGTTCCAGTAGCAGTTGCCGCAACCAGCAGCACTCGGCAACGGCATGAGCAACGGCACGGTACTCCGCCTCAGCACTGGAACGAGAGACAGTAGTCTGGCGCTTGGAGGACCAAGAAACCAGATTGTCTCCAAGGAAGACACAGTAGCCGGACGTGGAACGACGAGAATCGGGACAACCCGCCCAATCCGCATCGGAGTATGCCGTGAGGGACTGAATCGGGCCGGAGCCGATGTGGAGGCCGGTGGAGAGGCTGCCCTTCACGTACCGGAGGATACGCTTGACCAAGGCGAGATGAGGCTCCCGCGGATCATGCATGAAGAGGCAGACCTGCTGAACGGCGTAAGCCAAATCCGGCCGAGTCAACGTGAGGTACTGTAGGGCGCCAGCGATGCTCCTGTACTCTGAAGGATCGGCAACAGGCAGGCCGTCGGTGGCGGAGAGCTTGGCACGAGTGTCCACTGGTGTCGATGTAGAATGGCACTCGGCCATGCCGGCCCGGTGAAGAAGATCCACAGCGTACTAGCGCTGCGAGAGGAAGAGGCCGGCGGAGGAGCGCGTCACAGAGATGCCGAGGAAGAAGTGGAGGTCACCAAGGTCTGTCATGGCGAACTCGGAGCGGAGGCGAGCCATAAGCTGCTGAAGTAGTGACGTGGTCGAAGCAGTGAGGATGATGTCGTCGACGTACAACAGAAGATAGGCAATATGATCTCCATCTTTGTAAACAAAGAGAGATGTATCGGACGCCGAAGGCAGAAATCCCATCTGTCGAATGTACGTGGCAAACCGCTGGTACCACGCACGGGGAGCCTGCTTGAGACCATACAGGGACTTCTGCAATAGACAGACAGCATCAGGGGCAGCGGGGTCAACAAACCCGGAGGGTTGCTGACAATAGACGGTCTCCTCTAGGTGACCATGAAGAAACGCATTCTTCACATCCAGTTGATGAATTGGCCAAGCACGGGATGCAGCGATGCTGAGAACAACCCGTATGGTGGCCGGCTTGACAACCGGGCTAAATGTCTCGTCGTAGTCGATGCCATGCTGCTGCGAGTAACCACGGACCACCCAACGGGCCTTGTGACGAGCAAGAGTGCCATCAGAGTGGAACTTATGCTTGAATATCCACTTGCCCGTCACAATGTTGGCCCCAGGGGGGCGAGGAACGAGACGCCAAGTGCCGTTGTCAACCAACGCCTTGTACTCATCAGCCATGGCAGTGCGCCAGTTGGGATCAGCCAACGCACTGCGATAATTGGCCGGAACAGGAGAAGCAGCGGTGGCGTGGGTAGCCGTGTAGGTCAGCCTGTCAACCGGCCGTAAGGAGCCAGTCTGGGAGCGCGTCACCATGGAATGCGGCTGAGGAGCAGTAGCCGTGACAACCACATTGGGTGAAGATGATGGCGGGACCGTCACGGTGGGCCGACGGGTGTAGACATGGCGGAATGGTGACATGGTGCCGGCTCGGGTGGCACCGACCGACAGGGCAGCGCCGATCGAGGAGGCACTGACCAAGGGCGTGCCAGCTGAGCGGGCGTCACGTGCCGCAGGGACGGTGTCGTTCGGCAAGCGTCGGCCGAAGAGGGGAACGTACGGTTGCTCAACCTCCGTGGAGGGAGCCACCGTAAGGCGTCGCGGTTGCTCAACCTCCGAGGAGGGAGCCACCGTGAGAGGTCGCGGTTGCTCAACCTCTGATGAGGGAGCCACCGCTGGAGGGAGTCCCTGCAACAAAAAATCAAAAGACGAGGGAGCAGGGGGAGTTGCCGCGAAGGGAAATCGTGATTCGTCAAACACGACGTGGCACAAAATGATGATGCGGCGAGTGGAGAGATCCAGACATCGGTATCCCTTGTGGGAGGCCGGGTACCCAAGAAAAACGCAAACTGTCGAACGAGGGGCAAGCTTATGTGGAGTCGTGGCACTCAAGTTTGGGTAACAAAGACAGCCAAAGACGCGAAGGTGGGAGTAGTCTGGGGTGGTGCGATGTAGGAGCTGAAAAGGTAGTGAGTGGTGAACAGAGGAGGAGGGTCTCCGGTTGAGAAGGTAGGTGGCGGTGGCGAGAGCCTCAGCCCAGTAGGAAGGAGGCATAGAGGCCTGTATAAGAAGGGTGCGTATGGAGTTGTTCATGGTGCGGAGCATCCGTTAGGCTTTACCATTTTGGGGAGAGGTGTAAAGGCAAGAGAGTCGTAGCTGGGTGCCACGACTAGTAAGAAAGGAAGTGGTGGCTGTATTGACAAACTCTCTGCCATTATCAGCCTGAAGGGTTTTGAGTGGTAAGCCAAATTGGGTGGAAACATACTCGGCAAACTCAACAAGATGACGATGAACATCAGATTTGTGTCGGAGTGGAAAGGTCCAACAGAAATGACTGAAATCATCAAGCACCACTAAATAATATTTAAAACCCGAAGTACTCAACACCGGAGAGGTCCATACATCGCAATGGACAAGCTCAAAGGGAGCGAAAGTGCGAGACAAAGACCTATCGAAAGGTAATCGGGTATGTTTGCCTAACTGACACACATGACATAAAGAGGTGTCTATTTTATTACAGGAAATAGAGGACATATTCCGAAGACTGTGGATGGCGGCTGGACCAGGGTGACTGAGACGACGGTGCCAAAGCGTGGAAGAAGTGGCGAGGGAGCAGGACGCGGTGTTGGAGGGAGTGGCAGCTGGAAGGGTGTAGAGTTCCCCGTGACTATTGCAGCGAAGAATCACGCGCCGGGTCTGAAGGTCCTTAACAGAGAAACCAAATTCATCAAACTCAATGGAACATTTATTGTCGCGGGTAAACTGACGAACTGAAAGTAAATTACGAACTAAGGAAGGGGCGACAAGGATGTTTTTGAGTGCAAATTTGGTGGTTCCTATGGGTAGAAAAGAGGTGCCACGACAAGTAACGGGAATAGTTTGACCATTTCCAACAGTAATAAAAGTGTAAGAGTTAGGCAAGCGTGTAACGAGGATACCATCAGTGGAGGACATATGAGATGTCGCGCCGGTGTCCAAAACCCAGTTGTTTGGGCTTTGGAAGGCCATCTGGTTCAGTGCTGCAATGAGGCCAGCTTGCTCCCAATTGGGCTGGCCTGTAGGAGCAGATGTGGGCGACACAAATGGCCCAGCATATGTGGTATTGGCCTGGGAGTAGTGGGCCGTCGGAGCCGGCCCAAGAAGGCCGGCCGAAGAGGGGCGCCAGGCCTGTTGCTGGGCCGGCCAGGGGTTAAAACAAACCCAAGGCCCGGCCAGCCTCCAGCTAGGGTTGGCCACCCAGCCGGTCGAACTCCCTCCAGCAGAGAAGCCGCCGCCACCAGAGGAAACGCCGCCGCCACCGCCGCCAGAGAAGGCCTGGCGAGCGCCACCACCACCCCCACTGCCGCCGCCGTTCCCTCCTCCATTTCCACCGCCACGTCCACCATTTCCCTTGCGGTTGCGGCGGTTCGTGTTGCCGCCGGTGCGGGCCTGGCCAGCAGGGAAGCCGCCGCCACCAGTCCCACCGCCCGGGAAGGTCTGGCGTGCGCCGCCACCACTCCCACTGCCGCCACCCCCACCGCCAGAGGAGATGCAGCCGCCGGGAGGGCAGGAACCGGAGCCGAAGCCGCCGCTGGCCACCAGCGCCGTGGCTGCCGCCACCCTGGCTTCGTTGGCGATGCGCAACTCCTTCAGCAGGAGGGTGTTGCGCGCTGAGGTGAAGCTTGGGAGGACGGCTGCGCCGGCGATGTTATCTCCGGTGTTGGAGAAGCGCTCGTTCAGGCCTCGGAGGAGGTTAAGCACGAGTTGGGATTCGGTGACGGCGTGGCCGACGTCGCGAAGAGCGTCGGCAGCGGTCTCCATCTTCTGGCAGTAATCGTCGATGGAGGAGTCGCCTTGAATCATGGAGTGAAACTGGTGGCTGAGGAAGATCGCTCGAGGCTCTTTGTTGGCGTGGAACATGTCCTCGATGGCGACCCAGAGCTCCCGCGCGGTCTGATCGGGCTCCATGGCGAGGTCAAGGACGTTGTCGGCGACTGACCCGAAGATCCAGCTGCGGATGCAGCAGTCGGCCTGTTCCCAAGCCGGGTCATTGGGGCGTGGAGGAGCGGAACCGTCGATGTGAGCCATCAACCCGAACTTGCCGCACAAAGATGTGAAGAAGGCCCTCCATTTGTTGTAGTTCGGGTGGGTGTTTTCTAGGGTGATGGGGACGTGGGATTTGACGGCGACCGTGGCGTAGGGGTGGAGGAATTCGCTGGTGGTGCTGGAAGAAGAAGAACCACTCGAGGCCGAGGAGGTGGAGGACTGAGTTGATTCAGTCGACATGGCTGGGATGCAGCTGTGATGGCAGCGTGCTAGAGCAGCGGAAAAGAAGGTAAGAGCCTAGGCTCTGATACCATGTAGAGAAAGTGGAATAGATGCCTCACCAATGTGGGGAGGTGAACTCTCATATATATATAGCAGAATTACAATCAATACTAGGGAGTTACATAAGACCAAAGGTCTAGGAGAGTAACTATCTAGGAGTGTAAAAGTTTAGGAGATAAACAGCCTATAGATTAATAAATAATCCTAATATAATCCTTAAGCTAAGAGGGAAGATAGGAGCAACTAGATGTTGGCTGATTACAAACAATTGTTTGTTTGACCTTCTGAAGATTTCATAATCAAGGAATAAATTTGATTTATTTATGTTTTTCAATGAAATTATTTATGTTCGAATGCTATGGTGCAAATCCATTATGAGAAGAAACTGGTTTAGAAAGTGATACGTTTCTCTATTCCTTGCTAAAGCAACATGGAAAGGACTGTAGGCTTCAGACCTCTCCAACTCATAGAACATGCCAGAGAAAAGAAACACTTAAAGGAAATACTTGCATAAAATCGAATGGTCATAAATGTGTACAGCATGGAATGGGGAAGCAGCTTTTGCCTGTTGATACTACAACCAAAATGTAAGGAAACTGAACTTTGAGACAAAACTCGATCTGTCTACTGAGAAAAAAAAGTAGTATAATAAGCATGACGGAAAAATATCAAATCGTAATAAGCGTTCTACATGGTGCAGAACATAGAAGATGACAAAATCCATGTTTTGTGCAAAATTCTTCTTTGGTAGAAATTAAGGAGATCTGAATTTGTATTTCACTCGACAGAAATGAAATGAGGACATATAGCATTAGCAAGACACAGGGCAACAACTTTTTTTTTTTAGATAATGGATTAAAAACCCGGCCTCTACAACAGGGCAACAACTACAAGCAACCCTGCGGAAAAAGCTTCCCCAAGGCAGATTGCTGCTTAAGTGATAATGCCTTACAACCTGCTTCATCGCATATTTGCAGCACAAACTACTACAAGTAGCAGACTTTGGCATATGAAAAGATTTTTTTTGTCCTTTGAGAAATGTTTCCTATGAAAGAGAGAATTTTCTTCTTAATACATGTACAGCACATATAAGGCTGTACTCATGAATCATGATCAAAGCATTCAAGATGCCAAAACACGACTATGGCTTTTAGTTCATCCCTACATGAGTTACCAAGAACACTACGGCACGATAATTAAATTTACGATTACAATCTAGCAAAGGAAAGCACAAGAAACCACACGGATTGAAATTCAAGAAAACACTAGTGCCCAATACTTGTAAGATAACAGAAAGAAAAATATCCATCCTCTACGTCAAAAGATTACGCAGGCACACAACCCAACATTACCATCAGAATCTCCTTACCTCGAAATTCAGCAAGAAAGGACCACTAGTTCCCCACAAGCTAGCAACGGAAAGAAACGTAGATGAGATTATGAGAAAACAAGAGCACAACCGGTTGATAACCACAAGGATTAAAGTGCATGTTATTGCCAGCGATTCTGAGAGCTGGCACGTGAAGGTTAAGGGAACTTTTGACCACGCCAGCCATGCACAGGAAAGAGGAGAAAGCTTTAAATAGACGTTAAGAATGTCAATGAGCACGAGAATGAGGGAAGAACAAGTGGAAATTAACTGCCGGCTACAATTAATAATTGCTTTGCCAGATTAAATCAAATCTTGTGCAAAGGAAACGGAGAGAAATGTGTAGTAGTAACTAGGATCATTGCTTTGAGCGGTTAATTACCATCGACTTCAATTTTAAAGCAATAACGAAATTAATTATCAAAGCACGGGGTGAGAAAGAATTAAATTCCCATGAAAACGTTTGCTTGCTGCTGAACCATCCATGCGTAAAGCAAGCCAAAAATCACGGAACAAAACTGACGTGAACTTGTAACCGGTGGAAGGCAAAGCGTTCGAAACGAAAAGGGGATAATCCAATGAAGAAACTGGAAAATTTTAAAATCCCTCGGGGAAGGAAAAAAGAAAACAAGAATACCACCGAATCCTCAGACAACATAGAACAAGGCAAGAAAGATTAGTCCCAAATAATAGCCTAAAATGTTTGCTCAAACATACAAATAATTATTTTTTTAAAAAAGCGTAGCGATTGGGCACTTCGTCCACACTAATTCATCGGGAGAACCAATCATCACCGACCGACCGACTCGTCGTCGTCGTCATCAGCAGCAGGAGAGAAAAAAAAAACGAATCAAACATATACAACCGATCGATATATTACAGGCCGGGCGTGGAGGACTCCGGGCGGGCAAATTACCTCTCCGATCCGCGAGCGCGCGCGGGCGGTCGGCGAGGCGTACGTGCGGGACTCCGTCGGCCGCCTCCGCCTGCGAGACGACAGAGAGATAAGAAGCGCAACGTACGCCGTCGGCGGCGTGTGCTCCGGCGGGCGGGGGTGGGGGGGACTACCCGTGCGTGGAGGCGGAGGCGTGGCACGCGTGGAGAACGCGGGGCGGGAGAAGCAAAGACAGGGACGGGAAGGGAAGGGAAGGGAAGCGAGACTTGTGGCGGGGGAGGTGGCCAACAGCGAGCGGCGGAGGGGAGAGAGAGGGGGAGAGGGAGGGGGACGCTTTTTACCGTTGGAATTGCTACGGCCGCACGAAAGCCAGACCCCAGACCAGACCACCTCTCGCCGATGCCGGGCCGGTCTTTGGGCCGAATGGGCGACATCGATAAGAATTTATTTTTATTTTTAAGGATATAAGTTCACTTTAGGTCTGGGAAACGCTTTATACCGCGCGTCCGAGCGAATCGGAAATATCAGACGCCTCAGCAGATGGATTAGACGAACTTCTTTCCTCTTCTTTTTAAATATTTTTTCTTCTAAACTACTTATCCGATCTACAAACCGATCACACCGTTGTATTCGTTTCAATTAAATCTTTACAATAATATATCATATGTGTTGACGTTTGATGTCGCGATTCCGGTATTTCCATAGTGTGGGGATCGTTGGTACTAGGATATATGTGAGACTGAGATAAAAGAGATGGAGACGGGGATTTTTATACAGGTTCAGGCCCCCGAATTATCAGGTAATGACCCTACATCCTGTTGGCCGAAATCGGTGTTGCTCTTTATTCATCTGGATCACACAAGTACAATATTTGAGGTAGCATATCTAACTGTTGTCGACATGGCGGTCTGAAGGTCTGACTCGTAGTCGACAACAGGGTAGCATTTCTCCTCGAATCCGCATCCGGCGAGATCAGAGACAGTGCTATATCTCTCCTGACGGTATCCGTAGGCTCCGTAGGGGACTAGCCATGCCTGTCTCTGAAGTCGATATCTGTCGTCTTGTCTTGGCGTATGTTGGCTTGTATGTTGTGGCTTCTGTTGTTCCGTGTCCCCTCTCCTCCTAGGGGGCCTTGTATTTATACCCATAGGTGTCGCCTTGTCCAAATAGAACTAGAAAAACCAATATGGATACAATCCGAGTAGTCCTTGTCGTTTCCATGTAGAACTCAGTTGTCTTTCCTTATCCGGAACTCCATCCATATCCGAAGGTTGTTTCCGTATAAGACATTGTATGTGGTGGGTCCTACCGAGATTTAGTCAACTGCTATTAGGTATGTGGTATCCATAACCCTGACAATATGATTATATTATATCAAAAGAAAAACATATGTTTCAAACCGTTAAAACTAAATGTTTCATACATGACAGTGATATGTTTCAATGTGCGTCTGCAGTGTGTTTTACAAAACTCCTGATACTACCTGCTACTACTCTCTCACTCCTCTCTCTCTCCACTTCATCCATGCACACATGCATGTATTTTAGCAAGCTTCAAAATGATTTTTCTCAAAAATTACTTATCCAATATATGATCCGATTAGACCATTGTATTCGTTTTAATTAAATCTTTATAACAACATATCGCATGACTTGTTGTTTCATACGTGGCAGCGACATGTTTCAACATGTATCTTCACCATGTTTCATAAAATATTTAAATGTTTCAGTTGCTGATTTTTTTTTTCACCATATATAACTTAATGTTTCACTTGTTGGTCAACTGCAACATTTGACCGTCTGATTTTTTGAGGAGCATCGGACGTCCGATGGGTAGCTTTCTCCCTTTAGGTCTCTCACTTTGTCACCGAGTCTTAGATTCGATCCTGGACCACAATACCCAGTTCTCTTCTCCAACAAAATTAGATAAAATTTTGGATACTTGTGGCAGTCTTTTTAAACTGCTAAACGGTGTGTTTCGTGCGAAAACTTTCTATACGAAAGTTGCTTTAAAATATCGAATTAATATATTTTTTTCAAGTTTGTAATAGTTATAACTCAATTAATCATACGTTAATACCACATCGTTTTGCGTAAAACACTAAATCTTCATCTCCAAAAGAAAAGAACACCACCCGTGTAAAGATCTTTATGGCGGGTCCCTCAACTCCCCAAACCAATGTAAAGATCCCAAGGTGATTTGGACGACGGTTTCGGCTGACGTGGCACCTATGTGGTGTTGACAAAGTCAGATAAAACCGTGGGGACCCACATGTCAGTGAGGGTTCAATTAAAAATAAAAAAGTTGCAGTGGGACCCACGTACGTAGTGGAGTGATCTCTACAAGGAGGTGGCCGGAGGGAGGTGATGGGGTGCACCGTCGTGTCATGCTGCTTATCGTTTGTCGTGGTGGAGCTTGTTGTCGTTCGCGGTGCCACCGCTAGGAGAAAGGAGATGGACGAGCTCCACACCTAGGTCGACATCGTGAGGAGGGGCTGACCCCCTGGTCAGCAACAAGGCGGACGGAAGACTGGTGTAGGTCGGTACGGCAGTATAGATTAGGAGACCCAAGACGACCACGGCGGCTGCTAGCGTAGCCGGTTGGAGCCAGTGTTGGTGAGCTGGGCGGCAACCCAGATCTAGAGCCTGTTGAGGGAGGCGCGGCGGAGGGGATGTGCTAGGGGTCCAGGGCACGCCGACCACGGTGAAGTGACTCAGGGTGCATGCGAAGATCGATAGGTGTGCTATTTTTGTTAATTCAAATCTCTCAGTTCACTCGTGGCCGTTGACATGTGGAGCATCGCATGGTGGTTCTCGATGACGGAGGTGGGTGAATCCACCGTCGCGGCCCCAGCAACCCCACCACCACCACTTGAGGAGGCGGCGGAGGACCATAGGGGAACAGTTGTACTGATAGAGTACTTGTGGGGACCCCCGGTTTTATACACCGGTAATCCCATGTGTCATACAGTGCCACTCCCTGGATCAGTAGGTGGTACACACATAGCACAATATAATATCACAACTGACATCGTTTACATGTATTTCTACAATAAAAATACAAGGGTAATCTCATTGGGTCCCGAAATAGACCAAGCATGGTCACTTACAATACAAAATGCCAAAGCAATAGATAGAACAGCGGAAGCGAAGCAGCGGCGGTCCATCGAACTCCACAAGCAACGACTGGTGAACCTATGGTCCCTAATCCATCATCTTCAACATGTACTTGGCAGCAACATGGCATAAATCTAATCGACGCCAACTCCTTTCTAAAAGATTTAATTAAGCAAGAGTGAGTACATGCGTACTCAGCAAGCCACCACTAAGAAATGAATCTAGTGCACACAGGGGTTCAAGGATGGCTTGGTTTATTTGCATAAAGCTAGTTTTCACAATCCATTTAACAAACCTACGACATAGCAGTTTTAACTGAAAAACAATGTTAATGTTGAAGTTGTAATTACCTAGGGTTCATCCACCTCTCCAAGCCTCGCTTGGTTCGGTTTACCCTCACATTTCATCTTATATCAACTCTACTATACTAACATTCCCACTCTTTGGGCAAGGTTCACATGTCTCTTATATTTACTCTAAGTAGGATCAAAATCTATGAGTCTAGTCAAGGGTATTAGCCGCGAGCACGGCTATTCGAATAGATTGGTTTACTCACACTGCAGTGGATGTACGCTTTTAATCCCACACTCCGTGACGCACCCAGCACATGAGACTTGTCACGGCTCGATTTTTCAGTTACCCTTGCATGGCGGCACCCGCTCCAAGGACTATGAATCCCCATTGCACCCCCGGCGCCACATTCCTCCCTCGAGCCGGTTGTGAGGGGAGTCCTGGCGCTCCCAAGATCAGAGATTACATTATACATATATATAGTTTTGACGTCATTAAACCACATACTTCCACATTTCCATACCAATGTCCAGAACCTACCATGTCTGGGGTGCCACCCCACGAGAATAACCTAGTCCACCGGGTCTAACCCCGCTCAAGAAGTGTGGTCGTACTCGGTTCGTTTCCTGCTTAGCTTCTTGACTCGGTCCTTAACTGAGCAGGGTCGGCGACTAGCCGTTTTCAGAACCACCCATATTCTATCCATGCCACCCCAGTCGAAATTATTTTGGTTTTATTAAGTTTTCGGGTTTCGCAAAGGTTTTCATGTTATGGGTGGCGCTTATGTCTCCACCCAATTCCCAATAATCACTCCCATCGAGTGATCAGTATAACCACATCCACATATTCCACATATGGAGTGTAAAACGTCTATGTAAGCAGGGCTAAGCAGTAAGTAAATAATCACGTGTAACGTAATAGACCCAGGTAACAAAGGTATGTAAATACATAAGGATAACAATATCAAAGGTAGGCTTAAACAATTGTAGGTAATTTTATAATTAGCATGCAATTTTATTTGTAATCAACACATTTATAAAAATAGGATCAACATGTTCAAGGAGGGTGCGTAGTGACTTGCCTTGCTATCGGTCCTAATGTCTTCGAGATAATTGCTCCAGTTAGATAACTAGAATTCCCACGATCGAAGAATAACCCGGGTATTCGCGCTCGATAAACGGCTAAATAAACCACACACAATCCTAAAAGAATTAAAATAAAGCAACATTCAATACAACTAATGGTGCCGTTAAATAGATCTCGATTTTAGAGAGATTACCGAAGTTGAACGGAGTTGATCGGAATTACAGTTGGAAAGATATGAATTTTCGAAGTTGGGAAGGGCTTATAAACCGTTGAGGGAACACTCCTCGGTTAGGGACTTGAATCAGACTTTATGAGAGGCTCGGAGTTGAATAGAGGATGTAACATGGACTTTAGTGGAAAGGGAGGCCGACGGTTGGCTATGCCCGAATGTTAGGGAAGGGCATTACCTAGACTTTGATAGCAGACTCGATCCTTTGGGCTTGGACAGAGCATAGGGAGGTGATATAGACTTCCATGGGGGAAGTCAACTCAGTGAGGAAGGGGCTAGAACGTGGGTCCCTTCAGTGGGTCCCACTCCTTTCTTCTCTCCTATCCTCTTTCTCTTTCTCTCGATCTCATCCGCTCTGCTCTCTCGTTTCCTCCTCGCGAGCGCCAGAGGGCGAGCGGCCATAGCGGCGGCTTGGCGGCGGCCTGGGGGCGACGGTGGCAGGGCGACGCTCGGTGGGGAGGCGGCCTGGCTAGGGCGCTAGGCGACGGGGCGGCGCGGCCGTGGGCGACGGTGTCCGGCGGCGCCCGGAGGGAAGGCGGCATGGCGGCTGGGCGGCTGGGAAGTGGAGAGGGCCGGCGGCCAAGAGGCGGCGTGTGGCGGCGGCCTAGCGCAGTGGGGGAGGAGGGGCCGGCGGCTGGGTGACGGCGGCGGCCTGGCACGGTTGGCCGGTGGTGAGGGAGGGAGGGAAGGCCTGTGGTGGGAGGGGCGACGGCCTGGGGCGTCGTCTTGGAGGCGGCGGTGGTGAAACTGGAGTGGAGGTTCGGCGGTGAGGAGATGGAGACCGGCGATGGGAGGCAGTGGAGATGGAGGGGAGGGCCGGCTGTGATGGGGACGGAGAGGGGGCGGTCGATCGGCATGGCGCCATGGTGGAGGGAGGCGACAAGGCGACGGCTGATTCGGTCAAGGCGTCGCGGCTGCGGAGGTGACCGTACGTCGGCGCTCGGCCCGGCGCCATGGCGGCTTGGGTCGGGCGAAGACGGCGGTGTAGGTTAGGAGGAGAAACAATGATGCCGCGCGTATGGCAGGGACGATGGCGCGGCCACTCGGCGGCGTCCTGGGCGAGGCCAAGACGTCGGGGGGCAGCGGCCGGACGTGTCGGCGCAGGCGATGGCCTAGCGACGGCGCGGCGGCAGCCAGGCTAGGCTACTAGGCGGCGCGGCCGGGCGCGTGGGAGAGGGTTGGTGTAGTGGCAGGGGAGTGACGGTGCGCGGTCCGGCTAGGCGTCGGCCACGCAAGGAGGTGGCGACGGTGCGCACGATGGTGGCACCGCGCCGAGACGGCGACAAGTGAGTGGGAAAACAGAGAGAGGGCGGTCGACAAAACTAGGAAAGGGAGAGCATGGAAGGGAAGGGGGAAGATGCTCACATTGCGGTAGCCGAGTAGCGGCACACCGTGCGTGGTCGACGGGCGTCGACAACCGGCTCGCGGATCATCCTAGGCTTGCTGTTCGTCCTCGCACACCATGTGTTCGATCGTCGTCAACAAAGGAATACATAATGCTAAGGGACAACGTCAGCGGGTTAGTGCAAGGTAAGAGTTAGGGAGTTAGAAGTTAGCGAAACGGAAAGTAAAGGAGTCAGCGGGTTAGTGAGTTAGGGGTTAGCGAATCCAAAAAGAAAGAGTTAGAGAGTCAGAGGTTAGCGAAACTGAAAATGGAAGAGTCAGTGAAACAGAAAGAAAAAGGTTAGCTGGTTAGTGAGTCAAGGGTTAGATGTTAAAGTTAGTCGTTCTCGGGTGATCAATGGTGCGGCAGCCTATCCGTCCTCTTGCTCAACTGAGGCCCAGCCGGAGCCGGCCGCGGCGGAGCAAATGGAGGGATGGCAGCTTGTGCACGGGACTGAGGAGTGCAGTGGCAGAGCTCGAGCGTGGAGGTGGAGAAGAAATGGAGAGGAGCCGAGCTGCTGCTGTCTTTGGTGGGGTTTATATAGGTTTGCTGGCTGCCTGTGCATGGGAGGCGATGTGAGGGTGGGCAGGGAGCAGTGCCAAAACGTCGACATCGCCACACTACCAGGTACGCATGGCCCATCGTACTTGGCTTTGCCACCTTTCGGTGTGATCTTGGCGTTGCCCTTCTCAGTGAACTTGGTTCTGTGGTTGCATGTATTTGGTGGAGGGTTTTGTGGATTGGGTTCATGGTGAATGTATTGCTGCTGTTGGGGAGGGCTCCAGGGCATTTGATGGCTGTGAATGTTTGGTGCAAGACTCTGTGTTGTGCCGGCAAAAGTGGGTGTGAAACCCTGTTGTGGCTTGTGGGCAATTTATCGAACATGTTCTGTGCATGCTGCTGTTCTGAGGGAGGCAAAATAGACTTCTGGTGGTTGGCTGAGAAAGAGAGCATGAGTGGCTGCCAGGTCGGCTGGGGAGGGAATACAGACTTTGGCTGAGGAGGTTGCTTGGTTGGCTGCAGCTCTGAGCTTAGGGAGGCAAAACAGACTTGTTGTGAGATGAGCTGGGCTGACAGGGAAGGGAGGTAGCCTGGTTGCAATAGGAACTTTTGCATATTGCAGGGATTGAATTGGAATGACATACTATGTATTAATGCAACTTGTAATTTGGACTGTATTTATATTTTGGAATGTATAATCTGGACATTTATTTGGCTCTGTACATCGGACTGTGCTTGTATGGTACTATGGAGTGTATGGTTGTGTTCGGTATAGAAATTCCGTTATGCACAAGGATTGAATGATTGGACTGCAATACGAGGTTTGGTATTTACGGAACCTGCATTGCCAAATAGGAATCTAGGCTTAACGCCTGACGAACGAATTCATCGGTCGTCATAGGATTATTTTGAGAATGCTCGTACGAACGAACGACAGTAGTGAATTAAGGATTTTTAGGGACGACGTGTGGCATACAAATCCAATCATCGTGGTAGGAATAGATTTGAGGATATTCAAATCAATGTACGATAAATAAATACGTCGATCGTTTGTAGATATTCGAGGGAATTATCGAGTCGGAATGATATAACGGTTTGAAATAACCGGAGGGTAAAAATTGAGAAAGATATGTCGTGTTGTGACATAAGGGAAGGTTTTCGGGTTATATATTCAGGTCTGTGATTTGTTTAGTACCGAAGCACTTAATAAATCAGACCGTGAAGACAAGGGAAGGAAAGGACGTTGGACTGAGGGCGTCCCTTTAAGAGATAAGATTTAATCGAGATCTTTGGCACACAACCTAAATACACACAAATGCATAATAAATCCTAGCATGCAAAAAGGTTTTAAAAAGATTTTTGATTATTCCGAATTTTTAATTTCGTATTTTAGAATCGAAATTTTCAGGGTGTTACAGTACTCCAAGCCCACCACCACCGCGACGGAAGATGCCATGGCAAGAGGAGGAGAGAGATCAAAACACCAAACTAGTTGCTGTTGTGGCAGCCGTCCTTCACCATCCCGCTTGACCCCATACTCGTTGGGGTGGCACGCCATCATAAATTTCACGACTGACAGTGACCTGGTCCTTAAATCGCCCGACGAGAGAGTGTGCAGTGGGGAGAGCAGTGGCAGTGAGCGACCAGGCGCACAAGTGTGGAACCAACCTCGCGAGCCACGCTCGGAGCCCACCGCGGTTCCTCCTCGCCGCCTCCACCTCTGTGTCGGTTGTGTCCCGACGATGATGCCAGTGACATGTTGTTCTCGTCATCTTCCCCTCACCTCGTCATCCCGATTCTCACCTTCCTTTTTGTCCACCTCGCCACCGCCATCATTAGAGTCCGTGGGCGGGGAAGGTCTTCGTCGATGGTCACTGTCAGTGTCCTTCCTCCTTCGAGCTAGCTTCTCCTACCAGTTGCCATTCTCCTAACCACTCGCCGCTGGCCTTCTCCTCACCGCTCACCGCCTGGTGAGATGGGAACAGGGGAGGAAGAGAGAGATAGGTGAAGAGGTCTTGATGGGCCCACACTGACTCGGTACTATTGATTTGGATGTCACGTCAAACAAAACCACCCGCTATACTATCATGGGACCTACATTGCATCAGTTTTGACAATTGAGGGACTCGGTGTATATGGTATTTCTGTTGAAGGATGAAAATCGAACTTGCTGTCAAGTTAAGGGACTAAAATGAACTTATTCCTTATTTTTATAGTTTGTGTAAATTTCACAAAACTATAGATATTTTAACCAAATTATTGCAAAACTATTTAAGGTATTGTGTTACAAAGCAGCACATTAGGGCTAATTTTATCATAAAAGGCTAATGCCATAAAACTACATATTTAATAGAGTAAATTGCGTGTTGGGCCACAAATTCTTACCAAAGTTTCACTTTTGACCACCCTTTGTTTTTTTTAAAAAAAATAGGCTAGGTTTTTTTGCCAAATGTATCACTTTGGACCGGTTGGCTCATATATCGATGAGACTATAACAATCTCTATTGTCCATGTGTCAGTTACATGTGGGCCACTCGATCCAAAGTGCAATTTGGCCATAATACTTAGTCCAAAGTAAAAAAAGAACACAGTAAGAGTGATCCAAAATAAAACTTTGGTAAAAATATGTGACTCAAAGTGCAATCTACTCAATTTAATATTGAAGTTATCACAGAACAATGATCTTAGAGTTCAAATCCCTAACACCACCATTATGTTGAGGTTATAAACGTTCTAGTTTTGTGATTAAATTGGCACCAACCTTGTAGTTTTGTGATAAAATTTGCTACTTAATATATAGTTTTGTGATACTTCATTTTAAATCTGTAGTTTTAAATTTGACGCTAATATATATTTTTGTGTTAAAATACCTTAAATATATAGTTTTTGTCAAAGTATATGTAGCTTTATGAAATTTACTCTTAAAGTTTTTTTAACACTATTTAATATATAAAACTATATATACTCCTCTCATCATCTAGAAGGGTTAATTTTCCCATCATATACTGTAGTCTTGTGAACACAGCACACCTATCACTTGTCCCGTAATAAGTTCATTTTTTATAATCATTACATTAAAATTTGTAAAAATAGAAAATAACTATATGAGAGTAGATAAAATGAGGAATAATTATCTTGAGATTTAATAAAATAGGGGTATTCAAGTCATTTTGATTTTGTATTGGTATGATATGTGAAAAATAAACTTTTTCTTAAGAAACACAGTAGCCTTGTGAACACATGCACACCTTTCACTTGTCCCATAATAAGTTCATTTTTGTAATCATTGCATTGAGATTTATAAAAGTAGAAAATAATTGTATTTGGGATAGATAATATGAGGAATAATTATCTTGGGATTTAATAAAGTAGGGTAGGGATTTAATAAAGTAGGGTATTCGAGTCTTTTTGATTTTGTATTGGTGTATGCGGGATAGGTGAAAAATGAACATTTTTTTTAGAAACATAGTAGCCTTTTGAAGGCACACACGTTGACAAGCACACCTTATGAGCTGACTATGGGTACATCACCTATTATTTTAGAATTAGCTGTAAATAAAAAACGTTATGTCTAAGACTTAAATCTGGGTAAATTGATTTCACCATAAGTATCCTACCAAGTTGAGATACTTTAACCTACCGAAGGAAACAGAAAAGCCGGAGCTTACGGCGTCCACATACGGTGTACTAAGGAATAAGTTCACTGGAGGTCCCTCAACTTAACAGCGAGATTTTTTGACGTCCCTTAACCGTAAAACCAGAAATCTTCATCCCTAAACTATACAAAACCATCCAATTCAGGTCCCATGGCAGTAGAGATGCCTGGTTTCACTGACGTGGCACCCTAGTAAGCAAATAATAATAATAATAATAATAATAATAATAATAATAATAATAATAATAATAATAATAATAATGTGGGGCCCACATGTAAGTGAGAGGAAATGATGTGGGCCCCATATCTCCTCTTTCTTTTCCTTCTCTTATCTTTTCTCCTTCCCTCACTTCTCTTGAGCTGGTGCGACAGTGGAGCGGGCAAGGGGAGAGAGACGGCCACGCGACGGCACCGGCAGGACGGGGGGAGAGAAGCGGCCAGCGCAACCGCACGCGACGGCGAGAGAGGCGGGTAGCGTGGGCATGGAGCGGGCACGCCGACCCATCTGCTGGGCGGCGTGGGCAGCGCAGAGAGGGGGAGAGAGGCGGCCGGCGCGACCACTCCTGACGACGAGAGAGGCGGGCGGCACGGAGCGAGTGCGCTGTCCCATCCGCCAGGCGGCGCGGAGAGGGGGAGAGAGGCGGCCGGCGCCCGGCGCTACCGCTCGCTCCGGCGGGAGATGGGGAGAAAGGCGCTACCGCTCATGACGGCGGGAGAGGGGGAGAGGAGGCGGCCGACGCGATGGCGCCGGCGGGAGAGGGGTGGAGAGGCGGTCGACGCGACGGCCGGAGAGGCGGGCGGCGCAGGCGCGACAGCTCGTGATGGCGGGAGAGGCAGGCGGCGCGGGCGCGGCCTCCTTTCTCCCCCTCTCCTGCCGGCACCATTGCGTCGTCCGCCTCCTCTCCTCCTTCTTCCCCTGCGGGCTCGCTGCGCCATCCGCCGCGCCTACCCCTCTCTTGCCGGCGCCATCACCGTCCGCCTCATCTCTCCCTTCTCCGCCGTGGGCTCGCTGTGCCATCCGCCGCGCCTGCCCCTCTCCCGCCGGCGCCATCGCCTTCCATCTCCTCTCCCCTTTCTCCCCCGCGGTCTCGCTGCGCCGTCCGCCGCGCCTGCCCCTCTCCCGCCGGCGCCATCGCGTTGTCTGCCTTCTCTCCCCCTTCTTCCGCGCGTGCTTGATGCGCCGGCCGCCGCGCCTGCTCGAGAGAAGCAAGGAAAGGAGAGGAGAGAAGTGAAGAGAAAAATAAAAGAAAGATGAGATATGGGGCCCACATCATTTTGTCTCACTTACATGTGGGCTCCACATGTTTATTTATTTTATTTTGCTGACTCGAACGTCACGTCAGCGAAACCAGGCATCTATACTGTAATGGGATCTAAATTGGACGGTTTTGTACAGTTTAAGAGTGAAGATTTCTGGTTTTGCGGTTAAGGGACGTCGAAAAAAAATCTCGCTGTTAAGTTTGAGGGATCTCCGGTGGACTTATTCCGCGTACTGAACCTTCCGACTCAACGGGGCTCGAAGGCCCAAAACGCCGCTCAAAACGGGGCTCCAAGGCCAAAAATTCCGCGGAGAGCAGCTGGCGGCCGTCCCCGTTCGCGTCGCATCGCAGCGCAGCGTACGCGTGCGTGGTGTGTGCCGTGCCCTGGTGGTGGTGGAGCCAGCCAGAATTCAAGCTCGAGGGCGAGGGGCGAATCAATCCGCCACACCGCACCGCATAGTGCCGCGTCGCGCCGCGGCCGCGGGGCTCCAGATCCGGAGCCGTACGTATAACCCCCCTCACTCACAACACAACACACCCTCTCCTCTCTACTGTTCCGCCACAAGACCCCAGGGCGCCGCCGCCACCGCCACCAACTCACTGGGTGAGCCGCCGCGGCCCTAAACCCTAGCCCAGCGCGCGCCTCTCCTCCTCCTCCTACTCCCCCCATGGCCGCGCCGCAGGCTTCCCCGTCGCCCTCCGCGCAAGTGGTAAGCTGCTTCGGTCCCCTGTCTCTCTGTGGTTGCGAGATTTGGAGGGGGGTTTTTCTCGCCGTGGTTCCGTGCTGATCTGCAATGGCGGGGGGGACTGGGTGCTCTCTCTGCAGGTGGGCAACGCGTTCGTGCAGCAGTACTACCAGATCCTGCACCAGTCGCCGGATCTGGTGTACCGGTTCTACCAGGACGCCAGCCGCCTCGGCCGCCCGCCCGCCGACCGCTACGGCGACATGGTCTCCGTCACCACCATGGAGGTCAGCCCCCGCCGCCTCCAGATCTGGCGCCGCCGCGAGGCGGAGGCCTCCATTTCTGACGATTTTTTTTTAATTTTCTGGTTGGGATGGTGACACGAAGATGGGGGGGTTTTTGGTGTGGTTCCGCAGGCGATCAACGAGAAGATCATGGCCATGGACATGTCGCGGGCGGAGATCAAGACGGTGGATTCGCAGGAGTCGCTCGGCGGCGGCGTCACCGTGCTTGTCACCGGCCACCTCACCGTCCGCGACGGCGTGTGCCGTGAATTCTCCCAGTCCTTCTTCCTGGCGCCGCAGGAGAAGGGCTACTTTGTGCTCAACGACATGTTCCGCTACGTCGGGGACGGCCCTACCCCTGCTGCTGCTGCTGCTGCGGAGGTGCAGCCCGAGGCAGATGCCGTGGCTCCACCCCTGGCTAATGGTACAGCTACTGCTCCTCTGCAGCCTGCTGCTCCTGACTATGGTGTGTTTGGTGAAACCCTTAAACTCTATATAGCTTTTTGGGGGAATTAGATTGTGATATCGATTTGTTTTCCCCCGTTTTGTAGATGCTATGCCGCACGAGGAGCCGGATGTTGTGGAGAATGTGGCGGTGCCTCCTGAGGAGGAGGAGGAGGTTTATAATCCGCCTCTGGAGGAGGTGGAGGGTGGGGCTGTGGAAGAGGAACAATCAGTTCCTGAGGTGATTAATGAAGTCCCAAATAATGTGGTGCCCGTTGTAGCTCCTGCAGATGCTCCGGTGTCACACGAGGAGGCGCCAAAGAAGTCATATGCCTCAATTGTAGGTTTCACAAAAGCAACTTTCTCAAATTTCGAGCTGTATTTTGCTTATAAATTTATATCTAATCATGAATGGTGTTTTAACTGTTTTATTCCATATGATTTGCAATTGTGAAATGCACACTGCTACTCTGTAAGCTACTCCACTCCAAATGTGTAGTTATGCACAAACTTTTACTCCCTCCGGGCTGATAATACTTGTCGTTTTGGACAAGGGTGAAGTCAAACTTTAGAATATTTGATTATGAATCATTTTTAAAATATTTATCTTTCAAATATGGTGACTACATGTATAGATTAGTCTTAAAAAGTACTTTAATAAGATCATATATTTGCTAACAATTTTATACATATTATAATGAAAAATAATTGTCAAAGTTGTTTTTTGAAGACCGTGCCCTTGTCCAAAACGACAAGTATTATCAACCCGGAGGGAGTAGTAGCTTAGCGTACCACTGCACTAAATATTCTGTAGTCTTATGAGGTGCTTCTTATTGACAAGTTTTTATGTGATGTCATCCATACACTAGATCTAGACTGATTTTGTGCATTATAATGTTTTGTCTTGATGTCGCACAATCTGGGAGCATTAATCTATTGATGGTTGACCAGGAAGAGGCAGTGCTAAAGTTGAAAAATTATTGTGCTTTTTTAAGTGTAGTGCTTCAAATAAATATTAGTGACAGCTTTCAAATAATTTGAGTAGCTTTTTACTGTTGGCCATGATGGTTGTCATCTTGTTTGGTAGCAGGTGATTGGATTGAACCATTGCTCAAATCAAATTTTTGTTCTGCATTCTTTGTTAATGGTATCGTATTTTTTCCTGTGCTGCAGGTCAAAGTCATGAAAGAAGCTCCAGTGCCAGCCCCTATTCCTGCTACTAGGCCTGCACCTGCTGCTAGACCTGCACCTCCCAAACCCGAGAAGCAATCTCCTGCCCCTCCGGCTCCTGCTCCAGTTGCAGATGCTACTCCTTTTAGTTCTAATGCTGAGAGCAGCAATACGCATGAGCCAGAAGGTATTTTCTACAATCCTATGCTTTGATCAATACTCTAGATATGTCAATTCTGTTAGCTTCTCTGAACTTTGGTCTTTATTTTGAAGTTGATGCACATGCGATATACGTGAGGAGTCTACCATTAAATGCCACTACGACACAACTGGAGGATGAGTTCAAGAAGTTTGGCACCATAAAACCTGATGGGATTCAAGTCAGAAGCCATAAGGTACTTGTTTTTTTCCCCTTCCTCTGGACTTTGGAAAACTATCTATGTTATTCTGTCTCTGAAAGTGTTGTCAATATTTTCCAATGTAAATGCAGATTCAAGGGTTCTGTTATGGCTTTGTTGAATTCGAGGAAGCTACTGCAGTCCAAAGTGCTATAGAGGTAGTCTTTCTTAGTTTTGATCATTCCATTTTGTCAGGTTGTTTGGTGATAGTATCAATTTGTTCATCACACACTAATTTTGATCCAATACTGTGAGCATTGTTAGTTCATTATCACTGCGTGCTTTTCTTTAGCTACCAACAGCTCTTGTTGCTTGACATTATCTGGTGATGACTGCATTACATATCATATCTTCTCTAATTTTGAGTAACTTGTTTTTTTGTTGTTGAGTGGACACCATTTATCTTTACGCTGTTCTGAAAAAAACCATTCTTTTTTTTTTGTTCCACAACTGGTCTGAACCATGAAGCACTGGTCATTGAAGAGCTTAGATATGGGCAAATTTTTGTATATGCCTGCATGACAACGTAAAATATTGGATCTTTCCCTGAGAAACTATAGGTCTGGCTATCACTACAACACATTGGGCTGTTTAAGTATTAAACATAATATTAACTCAGCAGGTAGGAGAGTGCGTGTGAAATGGCTACCTTTCACATACACATGTAAAAAAACTCTCCATCTGTTGCTCCCATTGTAACCAAGGTTCCAAATACTGCTTTGTCTGGAATTATCGGTCCCTGGTGAAATCTGTACTGTATATACCAGACAAAAGTTCAAGTGCTGGCCAGAAAATTTCTAAATTTAAAATTTTATGTATGAGTTTGAATCACAGCCATCCAGCCAGTAACCAATCACCCCCTGGTTCTGGACCAGTTTCTGGCCAGCTTTTGGAACCTTGGGAACAACTGGAAAATATTGCTGTGGCTAAAACTATTTTAGAATCCCATCTGCTAACTTTTTGAGAAATTGCTGGAATTATTCTGAATATCCAATTAAGGAGATAAAATTGCTTATTTTGGCTAATGAATGGTTAATTGTGATTTGTGGGATAACAGTTATTTTTAACTTAAAATCATTTATTTGGAACCCTTAATTTATATTTTTATTGGAGTTTTTTTCATATTTCTTTACTAGATTAATAATCCAGGTGTAATTAGGGATGTGTGGGATCTTCTCTTTCCAAAGAACTGGTGAGCATTTTTTTTAAAAAAAATGTTTTCATGTGTTGTGGCAAATGAATTCCATTTTTGGAGAGCTGAACCAAAGTTTTGGTGTATTGTCAATCCCAACATTATAGTTATTGTCATTGTTAGCTTCGTAGATATTGCTCTACGTTACATAATGTTTCCACTGCATTCCACCCAATGGATCAGAATTATTTGTTGTGAATTCTGTAATTTTGTTCTCAGTTCCCGATGTTGTCTGGATCCTACTCTGAGTTTGTATTGTTCAGGTTGAGCTAATCATATCAATTCAATTGCTTCCATGATTTGCTTTCAAGTTTCCTTAACCCTTCAACAAAGGATATCACTTGTTATGTGCAGTCATGCTCTGTTGCCAGTATCATTGTGTGGTGACTTTGATGTGGTTTACCTTTTTTTACTTGGTCACTGAGTATTATATACATGCATCAAATTCTAATTGTTTTTAACTTCACACAGGCTTCTCCTGTAATGATTGGTGGACGCCAATGTTTTGTCGAGGAGAAGAGAACACCTGGTTCACGAGGTCAGTGTAACAGAACACTACATGTTTATTTCTTTTTTCGAGTTATTGTAAGTGTAGCATTGGAGCATACTTAAATGTCTGACTAGTCTAAACACCAGTAGTAATGGAATAATGGTCTGCAGTAGTAATTGAAAGAAAAAGAAAATAAAATGAATAAATAGAAAAAGGAGAAAGTCATCATAGTTGGAAATTATCATTGGAATGTCTTCTTAATCATAGGACATGTTGGATGGGCTAATTTATGTTGTCATGAGAAGCGTGACTGCACATTTTGTGAGTTCTTCAAATGGACTGCAAAGTCATTTTTGAGGGATCTCAACACTCTATATCTAGCTGTCTAGCAAACCTCATATAATGGTAGTTAGAATGTTGGCACCTGAAGAATTATTTCCACTATATATGAGCTCAACTTGTTCCAAGTTCTCATCTTACTGATACGTTGCCTCAGGATCCAGCAGAGGAGGAAGGTTTGCACCAGGAAGAGGTAATAACAACTTCAGAGCTGACGGGATGAGAGGCCGTGGCAATTATAGTGGAGGAAGGAGCTACGGAAGGGGTGATTTCAGTTACAGATCTGATTATGGTGGCAGAGGTGGTGGCAGAGGTGGCTCTGCGCGTGGACCTGATGTTGGCTACCAGAGGGTTGACGGTGGTCGTGGTGGCCGTACATCAGCAGGCCCTGGTGCCCCTGCAAAATGAGGGGCGAAGTAGCTTGTGTCTCTAGTATTATCATTCCATGGTCCTTGGAATGTCCAGATTCAACATAGGCTTCATCAATTGATTGCATGCTGGAATTGTCAAGCCCAATTTACAAATTATGAGGTTCTATTTTTGAAGGCGGCAAAAGGGGTTAAATTGGTTGCTAATTGTAGAATATACACCTATTCACATGTAGTCTTAGCTTGGTCTTTGATGATCAGCTGATGTGTTATTTTTTTTCTTTTTGTGTTAATTTTGTCCCGTTTAAGTTTGGAGCATTCATTTGTTGTGTCCATTTGATTTTATAGTTACTACGAACTGCTGAAAATTTGATTTTATAGTTACTACGAACTGCTGAAATAATTGATAGTTTAGACTCTAGAGTAGCTGGTAAAGTAGTAATTAGGAGAGATTTTGTCTTGTTCTTGTGATGTCTTGAGGCGAAGGACACTCTTATTGATACTAGTTTGATACTGGTTTATTTAATTTTCGAGGAATTTACCCTGTGCGCTTTGGTCTTGTTGGCACTGCTATTCCCTCGATTGCAATTTTGCTGGAGGACTGGTAGCGAACCAAGTAAATATGCAGTCGTTGACAGTCTATCGAGTTGATTAGAAGATATTGGTTCTCTGTTTGGAGGGTGCAAGCTATCTAAATGAAATGGTCGATTAGAAGATACTGGTTCGAGGTCTGATTTGAAGGTGCCAAGGTAGTAATTCCGATCATAGCTTTTGTTTTATGAATTACTACTGTCTAAATGAGATCTCTTTGGCAGGTGCCAAGGTAGATACTAGGAATTTTGGGATCTAAGCAAAGCCCAGCGGATGAATGATTGGACACCATGTCACCATGTAATGTCTTCACTCTGCACCTCCGTTCATCTCATCAACTTTGCCTACCATTTAACTTGCTACCTCGTCTCCTCTAAGTCAGGCTTCCTAATCCTAGGTTCCATGAGGTCATAAGCATGGTTTTCTGTAAAAGGGAAATATTTTAAGACAGGTGTTCTATTGTTTTCTTAAAAAAAAGACTCATGGATGGTTTAGTACAAAGTAGGTTTATCTACTCATTAGTTTGGTGAAAAAACCTACTCACATAAAAGAACGAGCATCAATGGGCTCTAAGGAGGAGTTGAAGATAAGGTTATCAAAATCTTGTATCTATTATACGACTTTATAATCCTGATTAAGGTGCTTGTTTTTATAATTTTATATAAGTAGAATTACGATTCTATGTTTCTAATCCTAACTACAACCTCGGATTCGGATTCAGGTCGCGATTTTAATGACCATGGTTGGAGAAAAAGAAATCATATACCTCCATGCTATTAGAAAAGTGATGGAAGATACTAAGGTAACAAATAAATTAACCTAAGTATCATTATTGTGAACCATTATTTCAAAAAAATAGCATGCATTGGTGAACATTAAAAAAAAATCAAATCCTATATGATGCTGTCTTATTAGTTTTGTTTAATTTTTCTTTCACAAAACATGCTCCTTTGACCAATATTGATACTAATGTTGCGTTCGGCAGCTGAAGAAAGTGAGTGAGTTTGTTTCGATTTCTGAGCGCACGCTTCCCAAACTACTAAACGGTGTATTTTTTGTAAAAATTTTCTATAGGAAAGTTGCTTTAAAAAATCATATTAATCTATTTTTAAATTTAAAATAGTTAATACTTAATTAATCATGCGCTAATGGCTCACCTTGTTTTGCGCATCTTCCCAATCTTCTCAATCTCCTCCTCCTCAAACTCACCCTAAGTGCATTCACAATGCAGGCTACGTATTCGAGAGACCCAAGACAGTAGTTTGATCTAGAACCATTGTAGAAAATAGGCTCCACACTGCATGTGGTCTTAAATAGGACCCAAACAAATATCAAAATCCTCTTAAAATGAACTTAAATAGAACCCAAACAAATATCAAAATACTCTCAAAAGGAACTTAGCCTACAACGGTGGTGTCCCAGTCAAAGGGTCAACAACAAATTGGATCAAATTCCCCCAACTACCCCGCTTCTCATTAAGTCTTTTCCGCTTCCTACCACGCTTCTCATCAAGTTTTCTCCACTTCCTCCGCCCACATCGCTCATCGCCGTTGGGGCAGGAGCCGCTGTGCTAGTTGCTAGTCACCGCGGCAGTAAGACTAAGGGAGTGGATAGAGTTGGAGTCCAAGAGGCGCGGGTACGGCACGAGAGCCATGACCTGCTTCCCCTTCTCTCTCTTTTCCTCTACGCCATCATCGCCATTCCCTCTGGATCCTCCTCTTATCCTTCTCGATTGCTCCACCTCCATAGTAGGCGGCAACATCACGACGGTGGAGGGGAAGCTATCGGAGCTCTCCACCAATAACAGCATCGATAAGGTTATCCACAGGAAGGTCAAGATAAGCTGTATTCAGTTCCCTCCCCTCATGTGCCACTTCATGCATTTTTCCCATGGCTACACCATTGCTTGTGATTTGTGGAATGGTTGTGATTGAGCGACGGTGAATCTCCGTACAAGCAATCTCCCCCTCCCTGATGGTGACGAGCAAAGCGGCGCAGGAGGGGGGAAACCTGGTGCACGGGAGGGGCTATTGGGGAAACGCTTGCTTTGCATGGGCAAAACCACGATTCGACGAAGCTCCGACCTCCACAACGTGGTGCCACGCTCCTCTTCTTGCTCTGCACATCCTTGTTCAGCTTGAACAATATGTGACCAATTTCGGTTACGCGGTCTTCATGGGGCTCCGCGGCTTGAAGAGATGGCGACAAATACCTGGTTCCTAGCACTTGGGCCAAACGACAATCGGCGCATCATGAGCACCCTAATACAACCATGTTTCTAGTAGTGAGTGAAAAATATGTTAGGGTGTTAGTATTGTGTTGGGACTTAAATGAAGGTGGGGTGCTAAAAGCAATCATTTTCTAGTTTTTTCGTGTTTTAGCTTCCAAATTTAACACCGCTACATTCGTTTAAAAAAAAATTCTAAAAAAAAAGAGAGATGGAAGTGTAAAACCCTAAACCCAAAACCAGAGGAAGCGACGCCACTCTTTCCACCTTTTCCGTCCCTTCTCCCCAACGTTTCCTCCTCCGCCCCTCTCCCATTCCATCCATGGCGGAGCAAGAGCAAGAGCAACAGATGGATTGGGAATAGAATCAATCGCTCGCAGCAACAACGCGATCGCCGATTCCAAGTTTCCACTCCCGGAGGAGGAGGAGGAGGAGGAGGCGGCGATTCCAATCTAGATTGCGAGGGGGCTGGTCAGCAGCAGGAGGAGTAGGGGGAGGGCAAGATGAGCACGGTGGACAAGATGCTGATCAAGGGGATCCGGAGCTTCGATCCGGAGAACAAGAACGTCATCACCTTCTTCAAGCCCCTCACCCTCATCGTTGGCCCCAACGGCGCCGGCAAAACCGTGAGCGCCCCAATCCAATCTCTTTCCCCTAGCATCTGTAGTGTGCGCGTGTACTGATTTTTATTTTTTGGGTTTTTTTGCTTGGTTTCTGTCCTCCCTGCAGACGATCATCGAGTGCCTGAAGCTCTCCTGCACCGGCGAGCTGCCCCCGAACTCCCGCTCCGGCCACACCTTCGTGCACGACCCCAAGGTGAGACACACGCGCGGCTTCAGTGTTCGTCCTCACCATGGGCTCGGGGTTGAGTCGTAGGGGTTTTGCTGCATTTCGGGAACAATGGTGTGATTAATCTTGTTAGTAAGGTCTATTGGGGGTACCCAGTTCACGGTGGTTTGATAGCAGTCGTATCGAACAGGGGTTGATGCTTTTATGATTTGTATCTTGGTGGAGCGATGGATTGATGCAATTGAGGGATCTCGAATGCCTATGGAGGTGCAGTGTGCTGTGCTATTGTGCCAGGGAATGGGCTTGAAATGAATGATGGTTATTGTGGACTGAAGCTGCTTCAAGGTTGTTGGCATAATTTTCTGCCAGGAGTTCTTTTACATTACTTGTTTCTGTGGGATGTGCAGGTGGCAGGTGAGACGGAAACAAAAGGGCAGATTAAGCTGCGGTTTAAGACAGCAGCAGGAAAGGATGTGGTGTGCATCCGCTCCTTCCAGCTTACCCAGAAGGCATCAAAAATGGAGTTTAAAGCAATTGAGAGCGTCCTCCAGACTATAAATCCACACACGGGCGAGGTCCTCAGACTTATTGTTTCCCCTTTTGCTTCCAAGTTGTTTAATATGGGGCCATGCCTTTGAGATTTATTTATTTGATTATATTGAGGCATGGGTGTGTTTGTTTAGTTACAAAAGATTCTTGAAACTCCAACTGGGAAAAATAACTTTGCCAGCATGTCATTGGATGATCTTGATTTGGTTCAGAACACCTGTAACCCGAAAATGATTTCTCATGTCTATTGTTGTTTGTAACTCAAGGTTCATTACAAAGCTAATATTATTACATATATCAATCATATGCTGTAGTTTCTGTTGCTATACATGTCTCTGCCTGTAGGACTTTCTTGTAGTAAATACTGTCCCCATGGTTGCATACAAAGACGTCCATTATTTTCCTTGCACTTTGTATTGTCCGTGTCAGGTAAACCCTTGTCTCAAATTTGAGTTAAGTAGATCTTAGCTATGAGTCTGTGGTGGTTATAAATGTTTTCATAAACTAGAATAGCCGGAAGTGCATAGTTATGTGGGAAATTTTCTCTCAATTTCCCTTTGTATTGCATACCGATTGATATTTTAATTAATAGAACAATCAGATTGCCCTTATGAACCATGCAACACTTCTCAAATACATTTGATTTCTTTCATTTTTGATCTATTTTTGTGGTCGTAGAAAATTTTCTTAGGACACCTTGTACTTTCTGTGACCACAGGTACTTAGTGTGACATTGTTGCACATAAAAATTTGATCCATGTGAATCTAGATGATGGGAATTTCACACTTGTTTGGTTGGTTCTAAATAATAAATTTAAACAAGGCAACGGGTTTGTATCACTATGGCTTCATTTGGGGTTGAGGTGGATTATGATAAATCTCGTTTGGTAAACTGTTCTTATTCAATCTAAGTTGGAAGCGATAATATTATTGTGTTCTATAAAAATGAAACAATTGTGAGAGATACGATGATTGCATAACATATTTTTCTAACCATTATTTGATTTTTTTTAAAATAGAATGATTCTTACATTTCTACTACAAATTTAAAATAAGCACAGTATAATACAGCACAGCCACCACAAATTGCGCCTAAAGGAGTACTGTATCTGTTGAACATTTTAGGTTACAATGTATATTCACAGCCTAATTTGTTTTTGTTATTGCTGAATTCAGAAAGTCTGCCTCAGCTACAGATGTGCTGATATGGATAGGGAGATTCCAGCTTTAATGGGTGTATCAAAGGCTATACTGGAGAATGTTATATTCGTGCACCAAGATGAGTCCAATTGGCCTTTGCAGGATCCATCGACACTTAAGAAGAAGTTTGACGATATCTTTTCTGCGACCCGGTACTTGAATGTTTTACTATTTCGTGTTTGCTTCGGAAGCTCTGGTCAAGAGCATAACCGTTATTAGTTGAAACATGACAATATTTTGAGATAAATTATTCTCTAGAGTAATCATCGTTATTCCTTGAAATGTCGTTATGACTAGCATTGGACTACCTTAATTTCTGTATTGCATGTGCAGCTATACCAAAGCTCTCGAAGTCATAAAAAAACTTCACAAGGATCAAGCACAGGAAATCAAGACTTTTAGGTTAAAGTTGGAGAACCTTCAGACTCTAAAAGACCAAGCATATAGGGTACTCTAATCTTCTGTTCAATCATTCCTGCTAGACTGCCATTGTATGAAACTTTTGAGTTATGGTATCGAGAGTTGAGTTCAACTTGTCATTGCGGAAGCACCTTTGTTATTTGCTTATTTGCCATGGGTTGGGCTATCATTTTGTTCTGGATCTTTGAAATGCTACAATGTTTTTCTTTTTTTTTAAATGATTACTGATCAACTAAAAGAAATTGAAGGGATTGTATCGTTCTGTCCTGCATTTGTGCCAGAATATATGGCTAATCAGCATATTTTACCTTTAATTATTTGTCATAAGATGTCTGATTTATCAACATGGTGTCCTGCTGACTTTAATGATGTTATTGGTGAAGAATGCAGAAACAATGTAAATATTTGGCAATTAATGAAGTAATTTGACAGCAGACACCATTGTAACACATTTGGTATTACTTTTCACATCAATCACCTCCCATTCAAACTTCTCCCCATCTTACTACGAACCACTCCCCCACTCCATACATATCCTTATTTAATGGGAGGCATTTTGTCTTTTTTCTCTATAATTAATTTACCTCAAATAACCTAGAATCCCTTGTATTTGGGGATGGAGGGAGTATATACATCAAGTTAGATACTAGTTATTGTTTCTATGTGCCATTCAAAGTTGTGAGAACCAGCTTTTGCATGTTCACCTGACATCCGTAGACCCTGAAATTATTTCTTAATCTATTATTATATGCTACTTATGTCTCACTAACAATTGTGTCCTTGACCCACATGTCAGCGAGACAATGAGTGCTATATAAGGGATAGAGTAATTGTCCATGACCCACATGTCTCACTAACGTACCTTTTATTTTTACTTTAACTCTCACTAATTTTGACAGCTCCGTGACAATATTGCTCAAGATCAAGAGAAGTCAGATGCCTTAAAAATTCAAATGGAGGAACTGAGAACAAACGTTCAAGGTGTTGAAGACAAAATTCGTCGTACTGAAAAAAGTTTAGCTGACTTGAGGAGGCTTCAACAGGAAATTAACTCCAGTACATCTGCTAGAACTACATATTTTACACTTCAGCAGCAACAGTATGCTGCTCTTTCTGAGGAAAACGAAGGTAAGTGACTCCTTGGTGTGTCACTGTGCCTTCAGGCTTCAGCCCATTAGTTCTCACCATTACAACAATTGACTCTGTCTTTGTTTAGATACCGATGATGAACTAAAGGAGTGGCAAACGAAATTTGAAGAAAGAATGGCATTGCTGCAAAATAAGATCAGTAAACTAGAAAGAGATGTGGATGATGAAAATACAACAAGCTCCTTCCTTTCCAAGGCCATAAATGATTTGATGCGAGAAACAGGAAGGCTCCAGGCAGAAGCTGACGTAATGTTATCATCTTTTATATCTTCTTTTTATGATTTTATCAGTCATTATTAACTATAGTGGACATTGTTTTATGGCGTTAAAAGTTTAAAGTAACATCCAAATATGTGGTTTTCAGGCTCACATGTCAGTGAAACACGAACGGGATTCAGCAATCAGAAAGATCTTCACCAAACATAATCTTGGGCCAATACCTGATGCTCCTTTAACTGATGCTGCTGCCATGCACCTTACAAACATAACTAAAGCAAAACTGTCAAATCTTAATGATGATTTGCAGGATAAGAAGGTGAGAATACTGATTCTATGTATTCTGGAATTTAATTGCTAAAGTATACACTTTTATTTTTAACTTCCGCTGATTATAAGCTTCAAAATCATTTCCAAAATCAATATGCGTATGGAGTTTAGTCATATAGCAAATGTGCTCTATTCTGCATCCACCTCATAATTGTCCTGTTTTGGTGTGGCATCTCAGTGGACGTATGAGTTATGTATTAAACAGTTTTTGTTGGAGGAAGAATGTTACTGAATCTACTCAAATCATTTGCTCAAGTAGGCAGTGAATTTTATCTAGTTAATATTGAACCCACCTGTTCTTAAAAAGTATGTGCTCTGACAATGAAAATTCCGCTTTATGACCAGAAATCTAATGAGGCACAGAAACAGTTTCTGTGGGGACGCTATCTTGAAGTAAATACTCGCTACTCTGAAGTTGTTGGCCAGATAGAATCTAAGGTTGCCTCCAAGGTTAGTCATGGAAAGAACATTGGACAAGCACAAATATGATCTTCTGCAACTATCTCAGAAGAAATTGTATTTCTTCACATATCAATAACTTTTCAGAAAGGTATTTCAAGGCGCATGAAAGATAAAGAGAGTGAACGCGATGCCGCGGAAATGGACCTTTCAAAGTACAATCTTCCCCGTATTGATGAAAAGGAGAGACATCTGGTACTTTCCTGATCCAATTATCTTTAGTTCTTGGAAACATCCATATATGTGGCTGCACTTTTCTTGTTACATTTTTATCAGAAGTAGAAATAAATGTCACAGGCTCACAGCATTAGACAGTTTGAGCATTGCACCCTTAGGCGTTGGCTCATATTTTTCTCCACATGCTTTGATGTCTTAAAGTATGCCATCATTCTTAATTCTGATGAAAGTATTTTTTTTGAGAATAATAACTGATTCATCCCATCTTAATTTTGGATAGCAAATTGAAGTTGAAAGGAAAGCACTTGCGCTGGGAGAAAGGAACTATGATTCAATTGTAAATCAGAAGCGCACAGAGATATTTAGCTTGGACCAGAAGATAAAAACACTTCAGTGGGAAAAAGACAGCATTATTAGTGATTCCAATGACAGGGTACTACTAGACGTGAAGAAGGATGAATTGGAAGAAAGCAAGAAGAAACTTAAAAAGATGCATGTTTCTTCCTCTCTCCTTTTATAACCCTACTTATTTTATGATTCACTTTTTTATATTTCCCAATCTTAAATCTTGCTGTGTGAGAAGTTCAAGTAGCACATACTGTGTAAAATGCAGATTTGATGAGCATAAGGACAAAATCAGAATTGTGTTTAAAGGGAGGACTCCTTCTGAGAAGGAAGTCAAGAAGGAACTTAGTCAAGCCTTTGGGTATGTGCTACTCTGTTTTTCTTATATTTGTTTCAACCAGCGATCAGTGATTCCTTTGTTGGTTGCTGTGATCAGTTCAGTTCACCTGTGTCATTTGTCAAGCTGTAGTTTGAAAAAGTTATCTCTTCCATCAATTGACCTCATTTCTGCATTTTTATCAGTGGGCTACTGATAGCTAGTAGTAGTAATAGCAGTATCTGACTATCTGTAGTCATGCATATTTTGATCAATCATGCACACCATGAGCTGATGTACATTCAATGCAAGTGCAGTAGCGTACATGATAATTTTAAACATAACCGTGTAGTTGTATGTATATGGCTGTTCATTAATGCTGGGATGATTAGTCCTGTGCACACGAACTATCATGTTTATGCCAATTCATCCTAATAGTAGATGTGAGAATAATACATATGAAGTCCTCTAGTTGTTATTTATGCATTTAGTAATGGTACAAAACTCTGCTTGGCTCAGGTCTGTAGACAGAGAATACAATGATTTGAACTCAAAATCCCAGGAAGCAGCGCAAGAGCTGAAACTGGTACAGATGAAAATACTTGATGCTAGGAGCCACTTGTCAAAGCTTCAAAAGGAATTGGATGGTAAATTCAGATATTACTACCGTACATTTATACTTACGTAATGGCGTGATTTTATGTGAAATATTTTGATATCTAAAAGATCCACTATGGTGTGGGATTTGAACAAATAACTTTGGAGAGGAGTCGGTTATACGTCTCCTTGAATTTTCAAGTGCAAATGTACCATATTTTTCTCATTGCTATTTTTAAACAATGGCGGATTTCCTACGAACTATGTATATTGCATGCATTTGATATTTATTTTTTTATCTTTAGGCTAACCTAGCACATTCCTATCCAAATAAAGGAAAATATGTGAAAAATACTGATAAATTTAATTAGTGGAACTTAGGATGTTACAATCATAAACTAACGGAGTTAGATTACTTTTGATCAGATTGGCCTGTTGTTATGGGCAGAACTCAGCCCCTCTCATTATTAGATAAGGTTGTTAGGCTTTATTAGATAAGGCTGTAGGAGGTTTGTTAGGTTTTATTAGATAAGGTTGTTAGGATGTTTGTTAGGAGCCGGCTCTATATAAGGAGAGGCACCAGTCATGTGGAATTAATCAAGAAAGAAGTTAAACCTATCTCTAGTCTCCCCTCTTCTCTGTTCGACCTCACCCAAACTCTGGGGCGGCAAGGCTGCAGGCCTCGCCTTCCCGTTGAGCACCCCAATTCATTCCTCCACATAACATCCACCCCACCACGCCATTCACCATGCCTGCCATCCATGACCTCCACATGCTGCGCCAATCCTCCAGGGCCATGCAGACCTCCATCACGGAGATCACAGCTGGGCTCGACAAGGTGACAGAATTGGTGTTGGCACTCCGTGCGGGTTTTGAGGCCAAGGGGGTGGCGTTGGAAACTACGACGACGACGCCCTCTCCGCCACTCGCGACGGCACCGCCTTCTCTGCCATCGTCCCTGTTCGCGGCTGCGGTGGAGGAACCGGTGATGACGATGCCCTCTTCACCGCCATCGGTCCAATCGGCGGAGGTGCTGCAGCCCCTGGCTGTAGTGCCATTTTCTCAGTTGTCGTTCGCATCCGAGGCTGCGGCAGTGCTGTCACACCTCACAACAGTCCGGTCGGCGCTCGCTGGGGCACCATCAACTCAGCCATCGCCATGGAAGACCATCGTGTCGCGTCGTCACCGTTCCCTTCTGCGACCACAGCAGCAGCGAGGGATCTTCCAGCAGCTTCCTCGAGCGGCGGCTGCGATTACGCTGAGCGTTGCTCGACGACGGGGAGCATCACGTGCGGCGCCAACGGCGTGGGATCCAGGCGGGCCACGCGCGCCGGGAAAGGGGGCGCAGCTGCTGCAGCACAGCGTGAGCAACACGCGTGTCAACCTCCTGGGGGTGGCGCCGTCTACATGAGCAGCAGGTGTGCCACGAGAGTCGGCGCAGGAGGCAGCTGGTTCCTCGCGACCCCACGGCGTCAGCCCTTCTCACATGCGGCTGGTGCGCATAGCCGGTACGGCGCGTCCTCATGCAGTGATTGCGGCATGCACGGCGCAAGAGATGTGACTTCTGGTGGCGGCGTGAGATATGGGAACGGTTCCTCGTTCGTCCCTGCTGTTCGGTGGGTCAACTGGACCGTGTCTTTTTGGCTGGTCACGTGATCCTCTGTTGAGAAGACAAGATCCATACAACATGTCTTGGGCCAGGGGCTATTGGAGTGGGCTGCAGTTGTCTAGGCACCACACAGCTTTGGTCTCCTTTGGCAAACATGACAGCAAGCAGGACATTTGTGGTTTTTGGAACACACAGTCACATTGGTATGGCGTCCTTCCTCTATGTTCTTCTGGATGGGGCCCACCTGAGCTTGGCAGCAGAAGAATGGCATGGAACACCAAAATAATTTTAGATTTATTCTTTCCAAATAATGTTAGGAGCCGAGATGTAAAAGGCTTAATAATAGGACATCATGTGAAGACAAGCTTGCAGCTCGCGGGCGAGCTGCTTCCGAAGGAGGAGGGAAAGGGGACTAGGATGACATGGGTGATCGGCACCCCTCAACCTTTAGGCATGGCTTCCACCGCAGCTCGAGGACGAGCTGTCTCGAAGGAGGGATGGAGATGTTATGGGCAGAACTCAGCCCCTCTCATTATTAGATAAGGTTGTAGGAGGTTTGTTAGGCCTTTTGTTAGGATGTTTGTTAGGAGCTGGCTCTATGTAAGGAGAGGCACCACAGTCATGTGGAATTAATTAAGAAAGAAGTTAAACCTATCTCTAGTCTCCCCTCTTCTCTGTTTGACCTTACCCAAGCTCTGGGGCGGCGAGGCCTGCAGCCTCGCCTTCCCGTTGAGCACCCCAATTCATCCCTCCACATAACACCTGTGACCATGCAAACATGTGAAATGCAATCGCTGTTAGGATTCACATCATTTTTGCAGCTCTTGGCCTCCATTGAGGTGAGATAGTATCAGATTCTTCTCTCCCTTGGTCTCTCCTCTTAACACTTGGCATAGCTAGCTGTGGCAGTATAGCTGCAGTACTGTAGTTGCAGCTGCAGCTAGTACTAGCGAGCTAGGCCATGGTGTCCCCATTGTGCATGATTGCTCCCTGATTATGTGGTCTGCTTCCTTGCTGCTACCATGATGCCAGACAAGGCAATACTGGTCTATGCAGCACTTAGCTCGCTCTAATCGTCTAATTAATTGCATGTCGGATCAAACTGGGTGTCTAGGTGTTCCTTCCACAGATCGGTGGATGCAGTTCATGCTATGTACTCGCTCTCTCTTCTTTAGCTGTTTGTGCTCACTGAATGTTTCTTTAAGTAACTGCCTTTGACCCCAAATGAGATTGATTTGTTTGGTTGCATTTTTGATTGGATAGCCAAATTGGCAGGTAGTTCATGTGATTAGCCTTGCTGGGACATTGCCTTGTACTCCCTCCGTTTCACAATGTAGGACTTTCTAGCATTGCCCACATACATATAGATGTTAATGAATCTAAACACATGCATATGTCTAGATTCATTAACATCTAAATGAATATAGGCAATGCTAGAAAGTTTTACATTGTGAAACGAAGGAAGTAGGAGATAACTCATGCATTGAGGAAATATTGTTGTTGTACATAGCGCCTTTGTGGAAGGTGTCCAAGCATCTGGTAGCTGCCGTGCCTCATTCTTTAGTACTCCTATGTTAGTGCGGCGGAATTTGGTTGGTCATACCTGTCTAATTTACTCTTTTAATTGCCATCATGTTCAAAGCCAAATTGTCCTTTAGACTCATCATAGTTCGTTGAATAAAGCTGGGACTAGTTCTGATCTATGCTTCACCTGAATCATGGGTAAATTTCTTCTCAATTTGATGACAAGAACTAATTTGATTGTTTTGTCTGGGCAGAAATTTAGCACACTGTACCTATATCATCTTCCAAGGTTCTCTCAGAGATGATAATAAATTAATGTTTTCTCATACTGTAAAGAGAATACAAATATTGTCATGGAAATTAATAAAGTTTTTCTATGGAACTAATGAAAGGACTGCTCATTCGTTTTATCTTTTAAGACTGTGATAAGATCCATTGACACATGTTTTTCTACAGCAAAGAGAAGCTATGTGGAGTCCAAACTTCAATCCATTACGAAGATGTCTGCTGACATTAACATGTTTCCCAAACATCTGAAAGATGCCATGGATGAAAGAGAGAAACAAAAAAAGTTGATATCCATAATTTTAGCCATTTAATTTGGTCTATATATCTCCTTGTGATGTGCTAAATTCAATGCTTCCTGCTTATATGCAGCAATTTAAGTTACGCGAAGGGAATGCGGCAAATGTATGAGCCTTTTGAAAATTTGGCTCGTGAGCTCCACATGTGCCCTTGCTGTCAACGTGCTTTCACACCTGATGAAGAGGATGAATTTGTAAAGAAGGTGCCTGATCTAATAATTGATATAACATGCTGCCTTTTACTTTGTTAGAGTTACTTTATTCATATGAGTTTTTCCTAATGTGTCTGTTGTACCTTTCAGCAAAGGACAACGTGTGAAAGTACTGCAGATCGCATGAACAAGATCTCATTGGAATGCTCAAATGCTGAAGACTTTTTCCAGCAATTGAATAAACTCAATGCAACTTATGAGGAATTTGTGAAGCTGGGAAAAGAGGCTATACCTCTAGCAGAGAAGAACTTGAAACAACTTTTGGCGGATGAAAGTGAGAAGGCACAAACATTTGATGATGTTAGTTTCCTGTTATTAACACACAACTCTGTTTTAGTTCCCAGACATAAAAGAAATAGCAGACAGTATAACCTCATGACTTAAATGAACTTGACTTCTCTGGTTCAATCCAAACTGAATATCCTTGAGCTTGTATTTCGTTCCTCGTGCCCAACTCGGGCACAATTATATCATCCCTTGCCACCTCGTGCAGTACTAAATCAGTATATTTAATTTCTTTAAAACAAGGAGTTGATCTCATACTAATTGCGACTAGCCTACAGCATGCTACTCCCTCTGTCCACAAATATAAATGATTTGGTTATATACCTGGACAAGCACTCGTTCAGTTACGTAGCCAAAATCCTTTATATTTGTGGACGGAGAGAGCATATCTTGTTTAGATGGTCTGTAGTTATGTGTTGCCACCTCTTCTAGGCCACATTGGCATAAGGCTTGTTTTGGTGTTCTTAAGCTCTTCTTGATTGGGCACTGTAGGATGGAGTCTCTCAATGAAATCTATAAAACACATGTAGTTTGTGGTTAGCTCATGTCATAGTCTTGTATTTAAATAAGTACTTACCTTTGAGAAAATATTTTAATCATAGTATATCTGTGGTCTCATGTGAAATCATAACTTTCTTTCAATTAGTTACCTATGCAGATAATATTGTTATTGACGAAGATAATTTATTATGTATAACCTATTTCGCTTTGTCTTGTTTGCATTTTGATGGCTTTGATCTTTGGAGAGATGTAGTTTTGTTTACAGTTTCCATATGTGATCCTTCATTGCAGTTTGTCAGTGTTCTTGCTCAAGTTAAAATGGACAAGGATGCAGTGCAGGTATTGCTACAGCCAGTTGAAACGATTGATAGGCACGTACAAGAAATACAGCAGTTAGGACCACAAGTTGAAAATCTTGAATATAAGCTTGATGTTCGTGGCCAAGGTGTTAAATCTTTGGAGCAAATCCAGTTGGAGTTGAACTCTGTGCAGAGGACAAGGTATTTAATTCTCAGAACGGAGCAAATTTGTTAAGGGTAATTTGGAACCATGGAACAAATGGCCTAAAAAATTTATACTCTGTTGATCTGTTCGGAAATTTAGAAAAGAGTTCTCGAAGGAATTAATCAACAGGATATTTTATGCATGATCAGTTATTGGGGTCTTGAAAAATTCTAGTGCTTAAGCTTTTCAGGGTCGATATGTCACATACACTGCTCTAGCTATGGCAATCAAATTAAATGCTTACAGAGCTAACTGATGCCCTTAATTTGTGGGAGTACCAAATAATGCTTTAGTGAAGGATGCACCCATCCAGACTTTTCTGCTCATAGACAGCGCTTTTCTGCTCTGAGACAGCTATCTGTCACATACTAGTTGTAGAGTTCCCTTTTTCACTTGGTACTGATAGAAATAAGCGCACAAACTGGTTATTGGAGATCTTTAGGTGCTTTGGCTTTCAATATGCTGTAACTATGTTGAGATACTACTATATATAATATATTTTCTATTACCATCTTTTAAGCAGTTTATTTGACCTCTTTATTTTCTTCACGACTCCACTTGGAAGCTGGAAGCTTCACTTTGTTTGATACTCTTATCTATTGAACAGGGACACATTGAACAATGAAGTGGATGATCTAAGGGATCAACAAAGAACACTTACCGATGGTCTGACTAATGCTCAGATGCGATGGCATGATATTAGGGAAGAGAAGCTAAAAGCTTCAGGTGCAGTGCACAAATTTCAAAAAGCTGAAGAGGATTTGGGACATCTAGCTGAGGAGAAAGAAAAACTAACATTAGAAGAGAAGGTACTCCTGCTTGCCTTCTGTGCACAATTTTTTCTTGAGTAAATTTCATAAAACCCCACCTATTATGGTCCAAGTTACACAAAACCACAGATATTTTGACATGTGGCAAGTAACCCTGGATATTATGGTCCTAAAGTTTCACAAAACCACACTGTTAACCATTTTAACATACTCTTGTATCAAAATTTTAAAAAATGGATGTAACATTTATATGCTGAACAAAATCCTCATAAATTTGAGATGTGATTGTAGAATTCAAAAGTCAATGATCAATTGGGTGTTTTTGTGAAACTTTTGGACCATAAAACCTAGGGTTATGTGTCACATGACAAAATCCCTGTGGTTTTGTGTAACTTGGACCATAATAATAATAGGGAGAGTTTAATAAAATATACTCCTATTTATTTGTTGTAATACCTCAATTCCAAGGTTCATGCTTTTCAGATATATGCCCATTTTGGTTGGATGATATAACATATTTACATATAGTTTACTGGAGTTATATGTTATCTGGGCAAGCCACAAAGTTGCTGCTATGATGCAGTCCTTCTAGTTTATAGCCTTAAGAGCATTTGATCAATTTGATAAACTCGTATGTAAATACTACAGTGATTTTGGATGAAATGTAACTGAGAATTTTACTGGCTGGTTATCATTGTACCACAATTTAGTCAGCACTTGCATCAGCCTCTTTCCAGGAAACGCTTGTGGTTCACTTGGCTTGCTATTGTTTCGAGTCCCGGAAATGTTGGGGGTGCTTTTTTTATCAATGACATGCTTACACTTGGGCTTATGCACTATGATGCAACATGTGTATAATCGGTTATTGCTCAATTATGCAGCATTTAGAGGAGTCTCTTGGTCCGTTGTCAAAAGAGAGAGAAAGCTTGTTGCAAGAGCATGAAGCTTTGAAGGAAAAGCTTGATCAGGAGTATCATCAGCTGGCAGAAAGAAAAAGGGAATTCCAGCAGGAAATTGATGCACTCGAGACACACAATGAGCGTATCAAAGGGTATAAAACTCATATTGCTCCTGAATTTTAGTTTGTCCAACTTCTACTATCTATGTTTACTCCTGAATCCTTTTAGGTACCTGAATTCAAAGAAGGGCGAGAAGCTTAATGAACTACAGGAAAAACATACTCAGTTGCAGTCTGATCTACAGAAAAGTAAGGAAAGAAAAGAAGAAAAATCGGCGGAGTTAAGCAAGAACAAAGAGCTATTGAAGAGCCAAGA